TAATGTGTTGAAATTACATGTCATTACATTAGTTTTTGCCAGATTATGTAAATGAAATACATTTGCATTGTTTAAGTGCATGTCGGTCCTCAAGTCCACCCTGCTGACCATAGTGCGCTTCATTGGGTGTGTGATTCGCGAAAAGAGTTCAGAGAAAAAACTAAATCTGTCGGAAAGATTTGTTTTTTTTAAATAATTTCGTATTCAAGAATGTTTATATATATTCTATACGGTTCATTAAAAATGGATAGCAGATTCAATAGACGTGTATTCATGGAAATTCGCTGCTCTACCAGTTCAGATACACAGGAAGTTTACGGTAACATTTGTCGAGCTGCAACACAACATCTCACAAAAAGATCTACAACGGCTGGAACGGCTATATTGTACAGAGAGATGAGGCAGCTTGAACCACTCAGGGTTTCTTTTTTCCTTCCTCGCCCATCCAGTCTTAAGGGGGTCTTTGCAAATAAAGCTGCATTGCGGTGAGATCTGCATTTCGTTTCTTTTTTCTAAAGGGGGTAAAATAAAGTTGCCAGCAGGATTATCTAACAGATTTAATTCATTCTATTAATGCATCCAACCCATGATTAAATTCATAATGTTGCCAAATGCTTGCGGAGAGGCAACTGATGAAATACTTGTTTCTCTTTTCAATAAAGGCCTTGAGATGACTTTTTCTTGCTAATTGGCGTCGTGTGAATTAAACTGAATTGAATGTACTGAGGTGAGTTGGATAAAAATAAAACGGCGCTTCAGTTTTGCAACTTACAACAGGATGCAGGTGCAGTACAGCAATAAGGGCTTCATATAAAAGCCAGAAAGGGCTTTCTTAATAGATTACAAACCCCATGCCTGTGAGGCTCTATAGAGGAGGACCACCCAACTTTGGCATTCAGCTCACAGTGATGAGGTTAGAACGATCACTGATGATAAATCAAAGAGGAGAGTGTATAAACAATACCCGAAGGCTGAACAGTTGCAGCTGTTCCGTGTATGTATAAAATGTTAGCATAATCCTTCACTGACTGAAAAGCTGCCCCAAAAGGTTGTTTTTTTTCCTGCATTCCAGAAGAAAATCATATTTATTCGAGTGGGTAAAAAACAAAATCTGAATCTTGTTTTCACAAATTTAAAGCCTGGTTGGAAGCCGTGAGCTATTTCACTTCCATTTTTCCCTTGATTATCCAGTACCAGTTTTTTTTATTTATTTCTTTAACTTTACATGTATCCAACAATGCCAAATCTGACAGGGGGACAGGGAAAAGGGGAGAGCAAAGAAAATTAACAACCCTGAAAAAGATAAAGATCCTTTAGATAGAGAAAGAACGAGAAAGAGAAAAAAGACAACAAAACCATAAAACCAGCTGCTATATCTGTATAAGACACAAAAACCTCCTGCGGTCTCTGTGGGCAATCCGGGCGGGGAACCTTTTGGAGCACCTGCCTGGAAGACCACAGGTAGCAACTACACCGGTACAAAGGACGTTAACCACCATCTCAATTGTGCAGCAACTGTAAAGAAGCTTAAAGAGGTGTGTGTCTGTGTGTAAGCATAAACATGCAAGACACGCAGGCCAAGTTTCACACAGTTTGTGCTCAGTTGTGGGTGCAGAGGTTCCACTGGCCACCGGCCATCGGCCAGAGAGCACCGAACCACAAGACAACTTAGCATCCACCCAGAAGACCACAAAGGAAGCCCCCCCCCCCAAATGAGCCCCCACGACTGTAGGCCAGAGGCCGTGAACCGGGGTTAGCAACAGCGGGGGAGAGCAAACCCAGAACCAGAGCCAACCAGAGCCCCGGTCACTCCCATCAGACATACTGACCCATAAGAGATGCATAAATAAATGAAGTAAAAAGGCAAATAAATAAGTAAAAAGCATGTTAAAAGTATAAATAAAATACAAATAAATAGACACATAAAAATAAGATGAAAACATATATCTAAAAACGACCCACACACACAGTACAGAGCCACATCACACACTTCAAGTTTGACTCGGTTCATAAATCCAATTCATAATGTTGCCAATGATTCTAATTATAATGATATTATATTATAATAATATCAAACGCCCAAGATTTCTGTTTATTTGTTTAAAACGTTTTAAATGTCCAATAAAATTTCATTCCACTTCCTCTCCCATGATTGTGTTCCACTTGTTGATTCTTAACAAAAAATAACTAATTTATATCTTTATGTTTGAAGCCGGAAATGTGGTAACAGGTTAAAAAGTTCAAGGGGGCACTGTAGAACTTAACTTTAGGACTTCAAAAATATAGCAATTGACAATGCAGGACCGGGGTGTCAAACTCCAGCTTTTTTAGACACTTTCCTGCTTCTGCACACCTGATTCTGATTAAATTGGCTCTCCTCTGGACATTGTTGAGCTTTGCTAACGGCACTTGGATGTGAATCAGGTGTGTTGGAACAGGGACACCTCCAAAACCTGCAGGACAGCGGCACTCGGGGACTGGAGTTTGACACCTGTAATGTAGCGAATATGGGTGTACAACTGGACAAATGACCTCCTATAAGGGCTCTCAGGTAAGTTCTTCTTTAAGTAAATGAGCACTTGCACGTAGGGTACGTAGGTTAATTCATTTAGCAGATTAATTTTGTAGACCAATCTGAACTCTTTATTGGATTAAACAATCACATATTACCATGAGATGTTGTTATTTTACAACCCAAAACAATATTAACAGCCATTCCATGTGAGTCTAGGTGAAGTCAAAAGCAGAGATCAGCAATCATGAGCGACCACAGGAGTGTGAGGGGGAAATGAATGTGAAATCAATTGATTCCAGACCCTCTATTTGATAATTTCCTTGATATTTTACCGTCTGAACTGTAATTTTCAGCTTTTTCTCTTCAGAACCAAACCCATGAATACCTTACATGTAGATGAAGTGTATCATCTTGGTGACATTCGCTTTTGTCTGGTGAGCCGCAGCTACTATTTGTGCTCCGTGGTTGCACATTCCTCTCAAGCAATCACTGGCTCAAGAAAAAGAAAAACATAAGACAAAAAAACAAAAAAAACTCCATATATACTCTGTTTAGACTTCAAGGCTGTCGATTATGTTTTGGGCTCATCTTTGTTGCGGTCATAATTATGTCACTGTCACCGTCTCTGAGTCACAGAACAATCCCGATGTTAAGCAGAAGGATGCGAACTGATTCCAATTTTCTTTTTGAAAGGCTGTGAATATTGGTTCTTAGGTCTCCCGTAGTGCACAGATACAATGTCAACACTCTTGCTGAGCAATTTGTTTTCTATTTGCAAGTCCACCTGCGTCTCTGCACAGGTCACTTACACCACAGCCTCCTCGTCTCTTTCTTGTTTGACCTTTTATAAGTTGCCTCCAAATTGACTTTCTCACCTTTTTTTCCTTTTTTTTCCTTTTTTTTGGTGGAGTCACTCGTAGGCTACTCCTCGGCTGGTCAATTTTTCCCACCGCTGATGAATTTTGGAAGCAGTTATGTCTCACGTTTGTCTGTTTTGAAAATTCTAGATAACAAGCACAAGACGTGCATCTGCTCAGCCGCAGCAAGCTCCGCATTCGAATTACTATTATTAAAAGGGGTCAGGGGAATAGCACCACCTCAATCTATTTATCCTCAAGAGCTTCTGTCAGTGGACCGCTTATGCTTTTTAGTTGTTTTTTTTTTCTTTCTTGCATGCTGGTTTAAACAAAAGACCAGGCAAAATAACAGTGGAGTCGCAGTCAGAAGATGTAACTAAAAACCTTAAGATGGGATGTATGACTTAACAAATTGAAATGAATAAATTCCAACACATGACCAAACATATAGACGTGCCATGTAAATAATCAACATAGGCTGCACAGTTGTATTTAATGGTCAATCCATTGTGTCGAACATGTTGGCTAAAAGAGGGTGAGACAGCATCCAGTGTCTTTCACTAACTTAAATTGTATCTGTCTCAGTGGTTTCATAATCCCTCAAGGGTTTTTATTGTCAAACAGAGAAATCGTATCACACTTTACTCTCAAAGGGGGATGGTGGCACTGTTGCTTCCTTCCATATCAAATCCCAAAAGATGGCTGTCAGGACACATTTTGATTCCGTTAGTCTGTATTCGATATTCAAAACATTTCAACACAACATAGGAAACTCTGATGAAAGAGATGAATGTCTGACTATATGAATAAGTTTCACAAATCAATCATTTTCTATCAGAATTGGTTCAAAATATGTATTAATCATGCTTTAACCATTGAATAATTTACTGCTTAATACAGTATACTGTATACTAAATCTAGTGCAGTCAAAATAACAACTCTGCAATATTGTTTTTGGATTGTGGGGAGAGTATCAAAAAAGATAATGCTTCCAATTCAGGACAACTCTGTTTCCTAACATGCAGAATTGTGTTCAAACAGCCAAAATTGAAATGTTCATAGCTTAATCTATATCCTGTCAACTAAAATCATTTTAAAGTCCACAGATCCATTTTCAGCTGCAGTTTCTGTCAGCTTGGCAGGGGGAGCTGGAGCCTGTCCCGGCCGCCGATGGGCAAGAGGTGGGGTACTCTCTGGACAATTCCACCAGTCCACTGCATGCATATTTATTCTAAAAACACTTGGTGACATTATGTATCATCAGGGCTTATGATTATTCACTTAGAAATTTGACAGAGATCTTAGTCTGAGACAGTGGTTCGAACTGATTACATTTTTATCACTTAATCTGTCATGAATATGCTAAGAAACTGACCTCCCATTTCTATTCCTAACATGAAATGGTTCAAAGGTGTTTCGTATAGTGGGAATAATTTCTGTTCAGTGTGGCAGGTTTTCAGTTCTAACCTGTGTATTCGTTGATATCATCATACAAAGAAAGCCCCAGTATGATTAACCTGATAAATCAGGCAATGTTTACATGTCTTTTTAAATTATGCATTATGACCAAGTTGTTTCACCAAGAATTTACACATGACTGAAGAAATAGTTTGATTCAGAAAGTTTGATAAAATCACGTCACAAGTGATTGTTTTTTTTCTCCCCTGCTCATGTTAATGGAAAATAAACTTGTTTAACCTCTGGGAACGTTCAATTAGCAAACTATCAACATTCCACAAAGTAGTGTGTTTGAGGGCATCTCTGAGTATGCACGTGCACCTGCTTAAAATTCAACTAGAATTAGAATGAGCCAAAAAGGTGCGTGATTAAAAGACCTGATTTACTCATGCAGATGTGCACTTGTTTGTGATGTTGTAACTCTTGCTGCACTAATCTCAAACACAGAACCCTAGAAGGTGTGGTCATCTTACAGAAAATCCCCTTGAAAAATACCTTCTTTGCACCAAATTTAAATAATGATATATTGTATCAACGTCTGCAGACAGTCTGTTGTTTATTCTTTCCTGATTTACTTGCACAGACACACATCATCAACGTATACAGGGAATTTAAAGGAAAGTTTTGCTGGTATATTCTATCAATATAGAAAACATACAAGACCCATTTGCCCACTCATTAGTGATCCCACCATGTTTGTGTGCTCTGTCATTTTAGAAAGGGCAAGTTTGACAAACCAAATCACTCAAACGTATTATAAACATGACATTAAGATCATTTTCATGATATACAATTGGTTTTAACATTTTTTAATAAGACAATGTTGTTTAGTGTTGAATTAAATCCAGAAACCGCTGAGAATGAGTTTCTGTGCATTTCTCCAAAACAATCTGACGTCTGTACAACTAACCTTAACTACACTTTTGCATGCCACAAGAGAAACAACAAAGGTTGATAGTCTGATGTATCTTTGTTCGATCTATTCATTTGATATCCTTTAGATAAATAATATGTAAAAAAAAGAATATGAAAACCTAAATGCATAAACAAATCTGAGCCAACTCACAGAGCCCAAAATCTGTAAAAAATTAACCATTCTGTGGGAGACAACTGGATTTGAACCTCTATATGACAGAGGGAGTTGTTTTGAAGGTTAACCTTTTACCAGAGAGTTATTTACTGTGTTATGGGTAGAACTGAATACTGGTTGCCAGTTTGCTGAGTTGCAGTCACCTTTGTACATCCTCTCAATATGTAAGAAAGATGTCGATAGTCGTTATGAATGAAAAGCAGCCAGAGATTCCCACTGTGTAACATACATGTAATAGAAAGACAATAAAAAAATCTGATTCCAACCATAGTCATCCAGCCTCGAATTAATCTTAATGTACAAAAGTTTCAATCCATATATATATACTGTATTATTTCATAGACATTCTAAACAATCAACAACAGCATATCCTCAAACAAAATTCAGGTTTAGCTGTTTGAAACCACATTAAATATCACTGTAAAAAGTATGTAACACCTCATCCTGCTCTCATTTTCTCTTCTTTAGAACATGAACACCTGATGTTAGTAAGTCTATTGCTGCATGATGGAACGTTTGAATGGGCTTTTTCTAAAGCTAAACGCTAAAGGCCATCTTGTTTGGATTAACGGCTCTGTGTTTGAATAGGGACCATGAAATGGTTCCATGTACAGAGAAATATTGAGAATATCTAAAGACCAGTCCATCCTCACTCTGTAAGGGTTGAGAGGTGGCTCTTGGGAAACTGGAGGCTGAATGAAGCTGCCATGTCTGTCTCTTGCTCTGTGCTTTTGTTCAGAAGGGAGACGATTCAGCAACTTTGTGTACAGCACAGAAGGTCTGATACAATAACTCTGATGAAATAATAATCGATAATCATGCCCTATCTGGCAAGGGAACGTTAATAAACACTAATAAATCATTACTCACACAATATGAAAAATCTGACATGACTGTGTGCGTGTGTGTGTGTGTGTCTGTGTGTGTTCTGCTCTATCAATGAAAACATCAACAACAGGTTGCATTGTTGTATTGCTATCAAACGTGTTGTGACAACTCTCATTGAAAACATCTCTTCTCTTTTTTTCAAACACTTTTTTTTCTTTACATGGAAGAACATCACACAGATTTTTTATATATTTTTTACATTGTATGAGCGTCAACACCTGAGAGCACCTAACAGGACTGAGCTTCAATTTGAGGCTGCACCGACTGTCTCTTAGGACACAATATTTTCGAGAAAGCCCTTCTGAAACTGTTGTGGCACAGGGGGTACAAGAACGGGTTGATGGCCGAGTTCAGCCACAGAAGCCAAAATGTTATCTCGTACCAGTAGTTTGCCACGCATTCGCCGCTGCAGGCAGCTCGGATTATCATCAGCAGGGTGTACGGAGCCCAGCAAATCCCAAAGATGCACACTATGATGGCCAAGGATTTGGCGATCTTTTTGTCCCGGGAGAGACGAGAGCCCTGAGTCCTCCGCCCGGGTGCCATGCACGAGGCTGTGTGTTGAAACAGCCTGGAGTTCTTTCTCTGGGGAGAGAACTTCTCCCTTTGCACGAAGATCTGGCTGGTGTCAGGGTACCCGCTGGAGGAGGGGGACAGGATGTCGTCGTCCTCGATGACGGCGGTCACAGCCGCGGGCTCGCTGCACGTCACCTTCCGGGTCTTGACAAAAAACACCGACCAGCCCCCCCCCTCTTTGCGCCTCCGGGTTTTCCTCGGGGGCCGGGCGTCCTCGTCGGCGCCGGCGTTCCCATCCTTATTCCTCTGGTGGATGTTCAGGTAGATGCTGAGGTTGAAGAACGCCACCGACACAAACGGCGTGAAGAACTCGAAGGTGGAGGCGCTGAGCAGGAAGTACCAGGTGAAGTAGAACTCTGCGTAGCACTCGTGGGCCGGGACGATGCTGTGGCCCACGATGGCCTCCCAGAAAATGATGGCGGGGCCGTAAAGGAGGAAGGCCAGCACCCACACCGCCACCATCTTCAGCACGGCCTGGCGGGTCATGTTCCTCTGCGCCCGGTACGTGACCTGCGTGGGGAGAGAGGCGTGAGGGTGACTCACGGCCGAGCCTCAGGAACACAAACCCTGCCCGCTCGCGTCGGTGTTTGGGACATTTGGAAGCAGGCCGCGGCCCGGGCTAAGAGTCTCTCCTTCAAACGGAGCTCGCGGTAAACGGGGGGGAATGTTGGGCTCTGAGCCACATTCACTGGCGCACCGCGCGCATAAAAGAGACATCTGGTTTCCCGTCGCTCACCCCGTCTGAGCTCGCTGCGACTCAGCCTCACCTCCTCTCGGCGTAAGCCGGCATTTAGAAGGGGCCCCCGTATTTACCACGCGTTTCCATTGTTGCTCAGAACCCTCCCCCTGTGGTCGCAGCTGCCTGGTACATCACAGTGAGATGCTGCCAAATAGATCCTGCTCTGTGTGGATTTGAAATCAAGAGAAAATACATCATCCTTTCTAAAAAGCTGTCAGTCAAAAGATGCCCAGGAAATGCTCTCGCTTAATTGGAAACACCTAAAAAAAGAGTTGTCTGTATGTGGCATCTTACACATTCCCTAAATTTAGTCACACAGATTGTAGGATTATTATACATATTTATAAGGCGGTAACATATATTCATAGTGAGGTTTTCTTGTCTTTTTTTAAACTTGGATGGCTTATTCTTATTCTTTGATGACCTTGATAATCTCCTTTACAGGACTTTAGCATTCTTCTTAAATCAAATTCAGTTCATACTGGATAACATATGAGCTAGATGAAATAATCACGAGGAGAGAGAAGTGTCTTTTTCAAGCGTAGGTCAAGGTAGACCTCTTTTCCTCACAGCTGATCTGACAGCAGCGGTGACCACAGTTGCATCATTATGGCATCACATCAGTTAAAGAGAATGTGAAGCCCAGGTCACGTCCATCTGTTTTGGCATCCTATTTCCCTCTGGTTGCTCCATAGGGGGAGATTTTGTATCTCCAGACATTCATTTGTAAACTAAAGATGGTCTCTGTACATTTTCCAGTTGCGCATAACATTTCTGTTCATTTGAGTTTCTGATAAGGAGCAGAAACATATCTTACTGCACATCCTGATTTAAAAACATACTAAAAACATGAGTATGAATTACAGTCATTTTTCCAAATTTAGAAACTGTATTAGATTCTGATCAGCTTGTTTATTTGCAAGTTCAAACATGACTTAGTTCAATTTGTCTTGGTAAGGTCTATCATCTGTTTCTTCAATTCTTCAATTTTCACAGTGTCCATCAGATTAGACCCCCACCCCCCAGAAAAAACAGACATAAAGTTGTTTTTTCTCACGTAAATAAAGTTAGTCGACTAACATGTATTTCAATTACCTGCAAAGAAAAACAGCTGCAAGTCCAAGGTTTACTCACAGTGGAGGATCTGTTTACCGGGGATGTTTTCTTTATTCCCTTTCCTGCCAAAACACCATGGCCTGCACATTTACACAATTTACACTTAATCAAGAGCTGCCTAACATTCAATGATCTAAACCCAAGAAATTAACAGGTCTGTAAAGATTCAGTTGATTTGTGCAGTAATGTTTGGTTCTGTTTCAGTGTCACTTTTCAGTGTTTGGTTCTGATTCAGATGCATTCAATTCATACGTTTTTACTTTCCCCATTTGATGAATGAAGGCTATAGGATTTTTCTTTTTTTTACTGCAATGGGATGTAAAACATATATTGATGAGATTTTTCCCCCTTTCTTTGTAGCAAGTAAATTTATCTGGAGCTACTATTTTGGATATCGAGATTATTTAATCAGATAACTATCCAAGTCCTTCTCCGACAGACATGCTGGCAATGGCGCCCGTACTGAGGGCATCTCTGGCTTGATTAAGCAGTCATCTGATTAATGAGCCGTCTCGTTTATCGGCCCATCACTGGAATCTTCATTCCAGTGCTAATGCTTATGCTGATAAGATTAATCAATAGGTCAAACCCTAACCGAGTCCGATGAAATCCCAATCTGCAGAAGACAGTTTTTTTTTTTTGCACAGAGGGTAGAGCTCCGGGGAATAACACATTTCACAGCTGCCATTGGTGGGTTGCTATGGGTGTGCATGTGGTAATGAGCACCTCCACATCCTATACTTACTGCCCTCGTGACTGACAGGAAGCGGTCATAACTAATGAGGACTATGTTGAAGACGGACGCCGTGCAGAGCAGGTAGTCCATGACCAGCCACACTTTGCAGAGCCCCTTACCCAGCATCCACCTGCCAGTCAGGTTGTAGGGAATGTACACTGGGATGCAGAAGGCACCTGGAACACACACATGCACGCACACACACACACACACACTGGATGATTTAACAACTCCAACCATTAGCACCCACACCTCTACAAGTCTGGATGCGAAAGCTATTAGGCTCCATGCTATTCTGAACCCCCCCCCCCCCTGCAGAGAGTAAGTCAGATACATTTTTGGCACAAGAAACATGGTCGCTTCAAAAGAGAAGGCTGCAATTTGCTGTGTGCTGCGGATAATAGTGGCATATAAAAGGGGTGTGAGTGGCCAGCTGGCAAGAAATAAGGAAGTCTTACAGTTACACACAGCAGTGTGGTAATGCACATGACACATAGGCAAAAGGATATGAATAGATATGATAATTATAACAATAATAATTACAACTGCAAATGTAAGAAAGCAAAAGACGTGCATTAAGCCCAAGAAATGGTCCGTGGGGATTTAGAGTCATACTCAATAAGGATTCGTGGAAATAAAGTAATGAGCGGAATTTGTAGAAGGAAAGTTGCAGTTTTTAGGAGAAAGGGGAGACCACCAACTCACCCACTAGAAAATCAGATATGGCAAGGTTCAGGAAGAAGTAGTTGCTTTGATTTCTCAGTGTTTTATCCACAATGAAAGCCATTATGACGAGCGCGTTCCCGGCCACCACGACAATAACCAGAGTCACCATGAGGACCGACAGGATCACCACCAGGTAGCCCGGGAGGACAGTCCCAGCCTCGGACACCGCTGGCGTCAAGTTGCCGCTGAAGTTGGACTCCAGGACGTGCGCGACCATAATTAATTCACGGGCAAAATCATCGTAGGGCTTCTTTCAGGGTTCCCACAGAAAAGAGCGCACGAGTCGAGGGACGCGTCCAGGCTGTCCACTCCGCTGCAGCGCGAGACTGGCCGAAGACCTGTGGCTGATTGGAGCCACTTTCCACAAATCTCCCATTTTGTACCCCCAACCCCGAAGCCCAACCCTTACTTAAAATACATCTAGTTTAAGTTAGTGTCTGTTTCCCCTACTTAAACTAATATTATCAGTTTAAACCCGGGTGTAGATCCACTCCCGGCTCAGTGCGCACCGATGTGCGGCTGCGGCGCAGCGCTCAGGTGCTTTTTGTCGCCGGCTCCATCTCTGTCACATTTCACAACACGGATCGATTCCGGTCAAACTTTCTCAATAAAGCTCCTATTAAAACCGTTTCGGTCCATACAATGGGCAAATCATTTCTCAAATATATGTATTCATGACAGCAAGAGGTGTGTCGATTACCAACCCACCTTAAGCTCACACAAAAAAAACAGCTAAAAGGGCCCCATGGTTTCCCATATCCATTTGTGATTTGCATTCGTCATCTAAACATAATTCAAATAGATTCAAACAGTCCCGCGCGCGTTTAATCTGAATACGACAACATAACGGCAGCATTTGGGATTTTTTCTTACTTTGGAGACAGCACTACTTCCGGTAACCTCCTCCAGTTATTTCTGCGTATTGGAAATCAATACCCAACGTAAATCACTTCTCCATTCATTTGTTTTTCTCTCTAGCATTTAGCCGGGCGATGAGCACATTTTCTGTCAGCACAGATGGGGGCCATAAATGAACTAATTAGAATATGAAGGCGGTGACTTCCTGACTGCCTTGGCAACTCTCTCAGCCTTTCCTGGAAATTCTGGCTAAAACTCCACATCATAACGGGAGAAATATATTCATATAGTTTTGGATCACACACGCAACTCTAAACTTTTTAAACTACACACGATCAAGGAAATGACACAGAGATCTGACAAACCTAGACATACTACTACTAATGATAATTATACCAATGGTCTTATAATAAAAATGACATAATTAATAATTAGCAACAATTATTAATTATTAATTTGAATAATTAATCACAAAAAAACTCATATTAATAATAATCATCAAAATAATAACAAAAGGTCTTAGAAATGGTAAAACTCAACCTCAGATGAACAACTCATGACATGTTACTCTGATTTTCATCAAGCAGAAGCGGTGCATAAATTCAGATCAGAGTGTGAAAAACAGAAGCACTCTATCGTTCAACAACCCATAGAACCATTTTTCAGAGCTAAGGCTCCAAGTCATCGTTGTCTGTAGGCTGTCATCAGTCTCAGGATGTTTTTGGAGAATGGATGTGGCAGTATTTGCTAACAGAGCATTCTCTTTGTGTTCCCCTTGCTGCATTTCATTCAGGATGAGGTTGGAGGACTTTGACCGGACCATCTTGATCTCTCGTCTTCTGCAGACATTCTGTTGAAGATTTTAAAGCTGCCGTGCCTGGCATCATTGTCCCCATGCATGATCTCGTTTCAGCTAAGCTTCAACCAGACAGACAGATCCGACAGATGGCCTTTATCTAGCCCAAGTCCACGTATTCCCTAAGCCAGCAAAACAAACTGAAACGTCCCTTTTTTAACCAGTGGGAGAGATTGTTTCAACTGCACAAAATAAAAACAATTAAGGGCTGAATAAAATCTAATTGGGGATACCTTGACATAAAACGTGACATTTAGGAAACTATGCACGGTATTTTCTAAAAGGCACAACGGAGAGAAAACACTGGGCTCCCAATTACAGCAGCAAAGACGGATCAGATGGGGGAAAAAAACACAGAGGAGTGTTACCCCAATCAGCAGCCGGCAGTCTGAGGGTGGAATTCATAACCTTAAGCCCACTAATTGTTCTCCGCAGCCTCAAGTCATGTATGTGACTTCTTGAAAAGCCAAACAAGTATGATTAAGAGCTGAGATGATTGGGTTCTCTGTGATGACAGCTTGTCAGGAGAGGAACAAATCCCCGCTAAGTGAATTAGCTGTAATAATTTCTAATGGCCCGAAATAAGCGGATGTGGAAGAAGTTTTTGGAACTTTGGGGTTGATGCGGGTCAAACGAGTTATTATTTAGATTAATTGTCACTCCGCATCAAGCTCCCGGTTTAATCTTCTCTATGTTACTGAGGCGGGCAAAATTACAGGGCTTTTCTTTTTTTTCCTGATTGGAGTTGTTGGGTCATGATGGCGAAAACCAAAGTGCCAAGTGTGCAGATAAGCCCCGGGTATTTTTAGGCCGAAACTTTGGACGCTGCTCATATGCCGGCTGTGTCTTCCAAGATTGGGGCCAAAATGGAGAGGTGGAGGAGAAACTCCAAAGCGCTTAACGGGAGGTAACCTGAGGGTCTGATTCTCACCTTTTCCTGCCTGAGAAACCCTGGACGAACCCAGCTGAAGTCTTGCTCTCGCAGATTCGGCTGAAATATCTAAAAATGGAGCAAAAACATGACGAGCTAAAAGAAATGCCACATTCTGTTGCTGTCAAAGTTTGTTTTAATGGACACATTTTGCATGGCAAACACTTCATTTGATGGCTGATTGTGTACCTAATAAAAATAAGCCACTGATTCAAGAGTCATTTGGGATGGCTTGGAATTTCAATGAGGCGTTTGTGATTTCAGATGCAAAAGATCTTTTCTTTTTTATCCGTTTAAGCCATTTAAACAAACTGCAAATAAGCTGACTTATTTGCACAACAAAAACTAATAAAAACAGCATTTTTTTCAACTCTTTTTGAGATTCATTTCGTCTTCTTGCTTTTGGGCCTTTTGGTCTTTGCTCCAGACTTGGTGGCCTCATCCTGTGAAACAATAGGGAGGATTAGATTGGGCACGCTAATGATTATTTTATCTTAGTACTCACTTAATAGCGTCAAAGCTTCAGTCATGCAAAAATATTTCCTGCTCCTGTACAGCTTTTGACAGACTCTTTAGCCTAAACTCCAGCTGTGTGAGAAAATGGGAAAATTACAATGTACTGATTGACGTGCACCACGCTGTTCTAATGTATTCCAATAATTACATCATACAAAGCATGGCATTCAAATTTCTCGTGGAAAACATTCCCCACTAATAATCGAAACGACAAACCAGGCTGCCAACTTCTCTTAAATCTCCACCACGTGTAGCAGGGTTACAAAAAACAAAAAAAGTTTACCAAAAAATGTATATCCTTTTGCGTGCACACTGTGTCTGGTATGCACCACCCAACAAACTTTATGCAATTAAATAGTCCTCTTTTTTAATTTCCAGGTAAAACCTTTCTATAGTAACGACCCACGTCCTGTAAAACAGGTGTCAGCAACCAGCAGTTCAGTTAATTATCTGTTATATCTTCAGAGATTAAACCAATTTTATGCTCACCTTTGGAAAACTGTTCATTCACACTGGGTTTTTTTCCCCCTCATTTTTTTAAACTATGCACTATTGAACTAATTCTAGTTCACACACCTGGGATTTGCAGACAGACATCTTCAGACATAAAATAATCTACAGGAACACCAGAGGATTTGGCAAAATCCATTAATTAAAACTGTTGGGGTACAGGATTGGGAACCAGTTTGAAAATTGGCATATTTGAAATGGATTAAGCCCCACAAACGTCTCTCGTGCTGCTTTAAAAAGCTGCCAACTACAGAATAGATTAGCATGAAATCCATTAGGCCCATGGCATCCAGATGGTTACCCTGACTCCTGTAATCATCGGGGCGATGTGAGAAACATGTTGACATGTTTTGTGGAGACCGCCATGACGTTTGGCTGTGGCATTCTTGTCCAACCCTCTGAATAAGCTGGAATCACCTAAATGACTCACTTTTGCATCATTTCTACAATCACCTCAAATTTGACTCAATGACCACAGATGTCCCACTTGAGCAAAACTGAGAAAAACTATGAGAAACGCCAGAAAGAACTAGCCACAGGACTTAATGAATTGTCCTTTTAAGATAATCGGGACTGGCTGATCGTTAGGAAAAGTGAACACAGACCCATCTGGAGTAGCTGCTGTGGAACAATGCTCTTGATTACTTGTGAGCCCAAATTTAGTCAACACAACAAAGAGCCCATGCTGAATCACCCTTCAGCTAAATTTGGACTAATGCAGCCGTAAGAGCCATGGCACCATCATTTCTTTTGTTGTGGGTTTTTTTCTGCAGTTTGAGCGCTCAAACTGCCCATAACAGCTTTTGGAATCCTTCTGGTTTTATTCTAGGTCACATATCTGGACGACTGCGCAACTCGTACATCTTAAAAAGTTTTAGGCCCAAGCTTGACGCCTTGTAATAGCCGGTCCTTCGTTGGGCAATATTATAATTAATTCAAATCTCTCATTCGAAATTCTTTTTAACAATCTATGAAAGAGTGGACACCAACTGGACTGTGACCGTGTGGAAGGGAAAGAAATTAAGCTCCTGTCTTAATTGCGAGTTGAAGGAATACTGAAAGACGATACCGTTGAGAGTAAGTTCTCTCTGTCTTTAAAGTTCCTAACCTGTGAACGCTGCTCAAGGGTTGCTTAAATTATCAATGGAAACTTCTCAAAAATAAAATAATGACCATCACGCAAAAACTTTAAATTGGTGAAAGCATGGTGGATCTTCATAACAGGTAGCACCTGGAAACAACTCACCCAAAGTCCCTCATTTGATAACCACTGAATTTTTACTTGAGGAAGAACAAAGCCCACTGAACACTCTAAACCCCTCGAAGTAGCTTTATGAAATACGGCCTGACAAAATATATATCTCTATATCTCCATGTTCAACTTACCAGGAAGGAATACAAATCTATCCATTTAATCTACTCTAGTCAGTCTACAGTAGTAGTCTCAAGATGCTTGGGAAAAACATGCGGGTGACAAAGTCAGCTTTAACAGATGTGTCAGAGGGAGATGACTTTGTCAAGCGAAAGGCCGTGTGGATGTCTCACCGCGGAGGCAGCGAAGCCCTCTTCCACCAGGATGTTCCGGGCGCAGTTGTTGATGTGCTTGAAGCGGTCGGGACCCAGCAAAATCCCTCCGTACCACCGGGACACCACCACCAGGACGTTGCGCACGTCCAGGATCTGCGGCAGGACACGGGCACGTGTGAAGCACAAGATGGCCACACGGGATGAATCATCATAAGATGTTTCCAAAAAATACAATTATAAAAAAGACGGACTGCTCTGAGTGAAAAAACAGTCCATATTCTGCTTCAGGTCTGCCGATGCCCTTTGTTTGAATTCTTGTTAATGTAGGAACAAATTCTATTCGAGACAAAAGACATGGTTGTTACAGGTGGTTACAGAATTAAGATGTTTAAATCATGTACACTTGTTATGAGTGATTGTGGAGGCATATATATACATCAATGCCCCAAAATGTCCCCAAATTAACTCTAACTATTTCAGATTTAAGTTTAAGCCTGAAAATTTTTATCAGCAAACAACCCAACCGTGTCCTAACCCTGTTTTAACATTACTAGATTTAAAGAGGTGACCATTACCATTGGACTACTACCAGGATGACCAAGGCCCGGTTCATAGGGCTGAAGTCTGGAAGATTCAATCGTGGAGCCGAGAGTACAATTTTCCCCTTTTGATTGGCTGTCGCAGACTCCTGATAACCTTAAAATGAGAATCTTTGGGCTTAGCTACATAATATTTAGAGCCTTTTCTGAGTCCCTCATTACAAATGTAAATGCTGAGGAAAAAATCATTTAAACCACAATGAACGAGGGGTTAAGATCAATCCTGAAGGCGGTCCGATGAATATTTATCTGCAGTACATGTAGAATCGGCCTGCTTGATTGTAAACACTAACCAACCTCTGGGGCATTGCTTTTGTGCGACGACACAAAAGATGACGTCGTTAGAATGCTCGAGCAGAGGGCGGCCGAACTGACCAACTGCTCCTGGTGGCAGCGGCATGTGAGCAAAAGACAGCCGGATTCATCTGAATTCAGACCTGGCCAGGCCCGGATTCCAATGCATTATTTCACACCGGTTTATCTCCCTAACGGGGTCCCAGCGGCGCGGGCGGCCGCCGCTGCCCTCCCAATGAGCATGAACTTTAAGGCAGACCACGGATCCGGGCCGGGGGGGCCGGGGGGGGGCTTTGAGGCGGCGCGGCGCCTGCTGGTAATGGGCGTGACAGAACCCGTCCAACTGACCGCCCGGCTCTCATTACCGGCCCACTTTTTGTTTTGCCACAAGCCGCTCGTTGGCTTTCACTCAGCATTACGGGGGAAAACAAAAAGCGAGAGGACAATTGCACCTTTAGGTGTGATGTGGGCGTGTGTGTGCGTGTGTGTGTGTGTGCGTGTGAATCACGGCGCCATCTGACAGCATAGTCCAGTGACAATTGCCTCTCTGGTTAGCCGAATGACAGGATTAATAACTTGAGGCCTGATTTTACTCATTTTTTCTATGTACAGATATGCTTGTACGCTTACTAAAAATGTATGTTTGGCTTAAAATATCAACCCTGACTCTTTCAAAAGAATGTCTCTTAAGGATTCCTGGTAGTTTTGAATATATACAGTAACTTGGAAAAAAAAAAGACATTACATGTTACACATGCGAGTGAATTATTCTGCCAATTCCTGGGATTTTATAAATAGTCAACACTTACATAATATAACATACATTTTTGAGCTCATTAGTCCACATAGTGCATGTTTCTTTTCCACTCACACAGCTGATTTGTGCGATATATAGAGACGTATGTGCCTATATGCAGCCCTTAAGCATGTTGGGGCGTGCAGATGAGCAGGGAATCAAACCGCCAACGTTCAGATTGAAACTACTCCTCTCACACTGGAGCTCGTTTCTAAATACGACGCCCTGCTCCCCAGTGCTCGGGGAATCTCATAATGAAGGGATGGAAGCGGCGCTTCCGGAAAACGTGCTCTCTTGAATACAGATCAATGGGCGAAGGTAGCTTTTCGACCTGCCCCCGGGAAACTGCACCAACACAAAGCTGAAAGTGTGGGAGTTGTGCCAGAGGTGCCAGAGGTTCATGAAAGCCCGCACAGCTGGAGGGCAGCTGCTGCTTCTGACCGGTCCTGACTTCAGCCGCATCCCTCCCACAAGGTTACAAATCCTATTTGGCCTTAATACACAGCAAACTGTTGCGCGCGCTCGGCATCTTTTGGACCGGTCAGCTAGCATATCAACCGCTTTCCATTAATCTGGTGGCTACTCAGTAGGTGAGTGTTTTCTGGCTGGTGCTGTACTTTTGTAATCTTCAAACTGTCAAAGGTCACCTTAGAATGCATGCGCAGCAACAGTGAATTAATCTAACAAATGATGAGGTGCTCATCCTGATGAATTATGCATTACAGGTCTTAAGGGTGCTCATGTTTTTGTCAGCTGTTATCTGCTTTTAAAAAAAAAAAAGGCTACTGTAAAACAACAGGCATGTGCCCTTATTCCTTATTTATTTTTCCCCTTTTCTGCATTGAATGCAAAGTTCATTTATGATATATTTCTTGCCAAAATGTTTTTTTCTTATTTGGATTAATATACTTACTGTTACAGTATTCGGAGCGACATCAGTTGCCATCCAGACAAACTCTTTCTCTGGGATTATTCCAGCAAAATGCTGCCAAACTGAACTTTACAGCAGCATGACACAGCTCGAGTCAGAGGGATAAACCGGGCCCCTTGCAGTCTCTGCCGGTCCATTAGAACACAGTTGGTGCATTTAAGGATGCCATTTAAAAGAAAACCGTTCATTAATAATTTAATTGGATTTCGGGTTGACTTGACAGCAAAGCCTCACAGCTTCAGAATGATGCCGGAGCAACCAGGTAGGAAGCCCTTTTTTAATCTCAAACAACCGGCCTCTGCAAATCTCAATCCTCAATTTAGTGGGTTCTTCCTTTTCCTTTCACTCAAAGCCACACCCCGATTCTCCCTTTGCATTAAAGCCGTGGCACCGATGTGGACAGCTCTCTAACTGGAGCAACTAAATAGAATGAAATCATTGTTAATCTAGTATCTGTCCTAATGTGATGCCTCATAATGGCTGCGTTGGAACGGGCCCGGCGTGCTTTGTTGAGTCCCAAACATTCCGGGGACCGACGGCTTGGTTGGGTGTCCTCAGCAGCTGGCATATGAACTAATATGTCACTTCACACAACCCACATCTTGCAGTGCGCATAATAGACGGAATACTAAAGCACCACTGGCGGGGCTTCCATTGTAGATGTCTCCGGAGAGCCGCTTACTGTTAACAATCTCAGTTTAAAAGTCACAGCAGATGCCAAATTATGCAGGCTGAGAAAAAGCGGAGCGAGCAGCTTAGAAAAGACAAGGAGGAGGCATGCACAAGCAAAAGAAAAAGAAAAGCTGGATGAACCCACCAGAGTCAACAATGTGAATGTGATCTCAATACCGAGCAAAAGCTTTGCTTTTTGTTTTGTTTTCTGTCCCCCGCGCTGAATAACTTGATAGCCCTGTTGGGATTTTCTCCGGAGTAACACATGGTTTAGTATGCAGGCCCAAAACAAACATTCATTTTAATGAAATGATAACCTGCAGCAAATGGAGCAATCTTCCCCCGGCGGCCGTCTCGCCGTCGTCCTCGCAGTCTTGCAGGAAGCTGTGTTTGTCCTGGCGGTATATCCTGAGAGGAGGCAGAACCCCGACAGCCTGGCATTAAGCGAGGCAGCGCCAAGACATTTTGGTCAAAGAGTGACACTGTGACACGGGCTGCCTCGTCCCCGGAAAAGTTTAATAAACGGTCTAAATGTCACTATCCCCTCCCCCGTGAGTAATGACCACCCGGGCAGTTACTCTGCGACTTGACACTGACCTCATTAGGCCATGCAACAAAAAAAAAACAGAAACCAGAAAACACCACACACACACACACACACACACACAAACACACACAGAAAGGATGAAACTCACAGCTATCCTCATAATGCCCCGAGAAAAAAAAACAAGTCTCCATTTTCTCCGGTAGCTTTTTTGACCTTTCAGTGCGCCACTTTTCCTTTTAGAGGAGTCTTAACTCTTATCTAGCTCATTTTTCCTCTCTACTAACAATCTGCAGGCCGATGTGCATAATCAGGCCACCACATGGGCCCCCAGTGTACGCCGTGGTGGACGCGGGCGTCGGGGGTTCATTTGGGATATGTCGATCTGTGGTTTCCGCGTTGCCATGGTTACAAAACATGCTTATGAAGCAAAAATCGACGCACAACGAGGCCAACAAATCAATAATCCGATGGCATCCAGGAGGAGATCTGTAGTGATTCTTTAAGTTGATGCAAAGTGAATAAACAGTATGGGAACTTTGTGGAAGTAATATGTAAAGCCAGCAAAAACTCTCTGTAATAAGGTTTTACATGACCAAAGGACCTTTTAATCTCATCTGGACAAGATGTGTTTGCAAGTGATAATTTAAGTTGCTGATGTTTTAGTTGGCTCTATCTTTTTTTTACTTCTTCTGCAAAATAAGACTAACTGATAAGAATTACAGCAAATTCTAAAACTTAATTGGATCGACGTGTTATTTCCCGATTTGCAAAGTTTCGGTCATTCCTTTATGAATTTTAACCGCACAGTGTGAACTTCAAAAGCAGAAACGGCTCAGTACTTTTGGATTTTGGGGACAACTTCTTCGAGCATCTAACATGGAATACTAATATCCAATTTAAGAAATAAAATGTTTTACTCTGTAAATTGTAAAAACCAGGGGGGGCTTGCGGTCATTTTCTTTTTTTAGGGACTTCATTTACTTGAATGTTAGATTAACATATTCATGGTATGAAAAGTTTTATACAGAGGTTCAGTGGAAAAGCTTCACAGAGAAACTTTAACTAGGCGTCCGAAAGCCATCTAGAGTGAGTCACTGCTTTTTAGCAGTTGAAATTCGGATGTGCTGAGTTTGAGCAGCCGACTGTGACTTCAAAGAGTGAGTGTGAGGACTGAACCCCCAGTGGCAGCCGCTCCAATTTGACTTTTGACTGTACGGCGGAAATACAGATGAGCAACGACCGACCTGTATGCGTAGATATTGTGTGTGGCGCTGGCAATCTTCTTGTTCTCGTAAAGTTTCTCCAGAACCGTTTTAACCTAAAAGACATAACGTGGAATACATAGCAATTAATAAAACAAAACTGATATGTGCGTAACCAAGTTGAACTCATGTTTAGGCGATGTGTATGCAGATGCCTCTGAGGTCAGAATGCTGCCTGCTCACGCTGACTCACGTCCAAAGCAGCATTAGTCAACATTTCAGCAGGCTATCATATCCCCAAAATAAAACTGAGATTTGTGATGCAAAAACACCTTTTTTCGGTTCGACTTACATTAATTACGCGGACAAAAAAATACAGATTTAGACTGATGGCTCCACAGTGCATGTTTACTCCTATTTCATTCATATTCTGACTACCTTACTCTCATTTTCTTGTATTTTTGAGTGATGCCTCTCGGAGTTTGTATTTTATCAGGTGTCAAATTGATTTGCTGAAAATGATCCCTTTTTGACAGGTTCTTTCTGGTTAAAGGATTTTTTTTTTCATCACACATTTGACTGCTTTGTTTCCAGCTGTGTTTGTCAGTGTCACCTCATCTTACAGCCGATTAAGTGCCAGGTTCCTTGCGCTTGCTGCTCAATGACAAAAATTCAAAAGCTATTTCCTGTTATGCAGGCTCACTCAAGGCATGGAATACATAGCTCATTCTAGTGCTTTGAGCTGATTGGTGGTGTGGTAACCTTGCTGTAAGAGATTCAAAATGGTTCCAATGGTATCAGGTATCAAAAGGGGAGCGGTGGATAATTCTCCTTTAGATAGAATCCTAAAAGCCTTTTTAAAAAAAGGCAAATTGACTTTCGCCTCCAATCCAAAAGGCTTCTTCAGTTTTGCTCTGGACAGACATTTGAAGGCTCTTTCTTTTTTCAATGTGAGGGCTTTGGGTTCTTTTTTGTTGCTGATGTTGTCAGTTATATATATATATATATATAACTGTGGAGCAATCTCAGTTGTGCCCATCAGCACGACGCCATTAGCGAATTAGTCGGTAAAATGTGCAGTTGATTTGAACCCCTTCAAGAAGTGTCTGTGAAAATATGTAAAGTGCACCATCTCCCATCCATCCGCCGCGTTGTGTCTGCGGGACAGCTGTATCGGTAAATATTTCAGCCTAAAGAGCACTTTGCCGCAGGTGGGAGCTTTTAAGGCGATCCAGACACAGAGCTAAGCAGGAGGGAAGAAGCTAAACGATATTTCATCTCGTCAAGCGGCATAAATTTGCAGATTTACATCCAATGGGGCTCAAGGAACCTTCCACTGAATCTCTTATGAACTCTAATTTGCCAGTTGTCTCCTGCAATTTCAATTTATTTAACAAATGCCTCCGTGAGATTTATTTTTAATTGAAATGCCCCCCCCACACACACCCACACACACATTGCTGTCTCAAAAAAAACATTCCTGCGTTAATACCTGTCTGGGGGTGACCACAGGTGCCAAATGAGGCTGGAAGGTGCTGCGTCGGTCTGTGATGCAGCTTCCATGTTTTATTGGAGGCATCTCTTCGTCTACAAGAAAATGTTGATGCATAATGAGACGCACGGGCCGATTTGAGGTGGAACGCGGCAGGTGCAGACTAAAAATTACCGTTTGCCTGATCCATGAAGAGGTGCGCATTTTTCCGTGTTCTGTTTGAGAGTCGTGAAATCGGGGAGGTCTTCGTCGTCACGCACTTCCTCCTCAGCTGTCACGTTCCCTTTCCCCGGTTGATCCGCCGCTGCAGGTAGGAAGAAATGTGGTTTGTTATAAACTTTTAATTGCAACTGTTAATATGAGAGAATGACACCAGATGGCTTTTCTGATATTAAACTTAATTCTAATGGAATTATCACGCCGACGGCGCATCTGTCTGCGTTTTTATTTTATTTTAAACACAGTAGCCTGAAAAGAAGCCTTATTCCGACCACTTCTGTGAAGAGCCTCTGGTTTGTAATTTGGTGTTGGAAGTTGACAAACTCCAGGCATGAGTTTCAAGGACAGTCCCCCACATTTTCACAACAGACTTCACAGCTCTGCCCACATTCTCATACCACACTCACTCTTAGAGATTCAAATTCAATACAGGATATAATACAATATAATATACAGTATAAATGACATCATGTCATTTTTTTTTCAAAACTAAGCTAAAAAACAGATGCAGTGTGAGGAGATACTGAACAATAGATTCCTGTGTGCTGCTTCAGCCTCATTCGGGTTTGCAGCATCAATTGCAGCATTTCAGTCAAAAAGAAGTCTGAACTTTGACCGGACCATTTCAGCAACCTGGATTCAGGCCCCATTTCAGATGAACTTCATCTTTCAGGCAGATGTCTAGAAAAGGACATTGTGTAATGTGTCATTTGTGTCCCAATTAAGAGACAGGAAGGAAATACAGGATTTTCATATAGCCTCGATAACCGGCATGTAAAAAAGAAAAGAGGGTGGACTTTCTTTGTCACACTGTGCAGAAAGCTACAATTAGAGTGGACGACACTCCTGAGTCTCATGTAGAATTTAAAAAAAAATATCTGAACCAATGATCTGAATAGGCTGAAAAAAGGGGGAGAAAGACTACCTTTATTACATGTGTTTGCTATTCTACACTAATTCCACGAAAAAACATCAAAAGACATGATGAATAAGATAATCTCTCCAAGCTTGCCGCTCTCTGCCTCCAATCCACTGCTTCCTACATGAGGTGTAAATCTTATCTCAGTCCGTGGGTGTGCGTTTTCACACACAAGTGACCGTTATGAATTTTCATGAGAAAATCTGGTTGACGTTATCTTATGCAAAACTTACTCAATAGGCTTTCAGACACGGATTAACAGCCACTGTTCTGTAAAATACGACTCAAAATAGTCAGGCAAAAAAAGTGAGGCTCACTGACGTGTTCTTAATGGTTTTTAAGATTACGTTCAAACAGGAGAGGCGACTTAAGAAAATGACGGATTTGACATAATCAGAAAGGTAAAAAGAAAAAATCACGACCATCTATTCTGTAGTATGAAAGCTCTGATCTATGTCCTAGTTATAAAGCCGCTTGTGGTTAGATTACCACGACTACAACATTTTTGCTGCAGTAGCGCAAAGTTGATCATTTTTTATTCTTAATTTCTACACACCCACCAGCCAGCAGCAGCAGTCAAGACAGAAGCCGTTCAAACCACACTATTTGCGTTTTCATATTTAGCCGAACAAATATTTAGTTTTCTCATGATTTTCTTCCCTATCTTTTCGCATCTGTGTGGTCTCATTCATCCAAATTTCATCATAGCACTCATTATTTCTCCTCACTTCTCGTCTCCTGTCGGCGGTCGTCAGTTTTCATTTCCTTCTCTGTGAAATGTGCATCTTCAGACTTATCACCTTTCCCTTTCTCTCCTTCACCGTGTGCCCGTCATTTGAATGAAGAAGCCGTCGGTCCCCTTTTTTCTGGGCTGTGACCAGTTATACTTATTACCACATGAATCACGGAGAGGGGACTTATGACGCACAACAATAGGGAGGATAGTTAATATTTTTCATGCTTGTTGCTCAAAGGGGAGCGTCCGCCTCCAGGGCCTGATGTTAGATAAGTGAGACGGAGCAGACGGGACCCTTCCACCTTCCCACCACCGCACAGTCCTGATTCATTGTGACACTTTGAAAATGTGTAATTGAGGGGCCTCTTGGTTTTTCAAAGGATTCGGCAATGGAAACAGAAAGGATTATACAGATATTGATCTTAATTCAGCGCAGTCACTCAAAGTCAGAGGGATTTTTTTTTTTTTAAAAAGCCCTTTGTGCCTGTCTTATCACATCTTCAGACCACAACAGATAGTTGTGTTGGCATTAGGAGGAGCATCTCTGGAGACTTCAGGTGATGGGCCTGTTTATAACGAGGCCTCGAATTTGCAAATAGTTTTACTTGACTGACCTGCGAAATGAAAAATAAAGAAATAAATAAAAAGAAATCAACTGTGAGCTCTCGCATGGCCAAGCTTTACATTCTCTCAACTCTTGCGACACGTTGGAAAGCTTAGAACTAACAGTTTCCAAAAAAAACCACACAAAAAAACGGAGACTGCCCAATCGCAGAATGGCAACCGTAACTAAGCACGGCGGCCCGTCAATATTTGGATTCCTCCCAAGCGGCAGCAACAATGGCTCGAAAGTGAAGTCAATGTGTGCCGCTAAGTGCCATTTCTGACAGCCTCCCATTCAAAAAGCAGAGCTTCAGTCGGAGAATTCGACAACCCCCCATCAGTATAATGCCAACAGTCAATCTCGTCCCCTCTGATCAATGAGCTGCCGGTTCTCTCGGAAAATGATCCCATAAATACGACAATGGGCCTGAAGCCTGGTGCGTTTGCAGGTGTGACCGGCAGGTTATATGCCAGCCACCGTCGGGCTTGTCTGGTGGAAACAGGCCAGGAGGTCGATTTTTTTCCAAGGATCTGGAGGGGCACGTACGTTTTTTTTGCTTCAGAGTGATGACCGTTCGCTGCTTGAGTGTGTGCTAAACACTGTCCGCAAAGTTTAGCTGTTCTTTAGCTTGTTTTAAATGCAAATAGAACACAGGGGCCAGTCTCCGTCCAGCCGTCATTTCTTTATATCGTACCAGGATATGAAGTACTTAGTTGAAGTGAGTTATTTTATCATGCATAAAATTTAGCCGTTAATACAAAATAATAGGCTTGTACAGTGAAAGCTTAAATTTGTTACGAGTGTTTGCATTTACAACACAGCCTGGACCCTTTTCAGACAAGCTTTTACGTCATTTCCTCGATCAATAAATCTCAATGATTCTCGAATCCAACGGCCAAAGAAGCTCTTCTTTGGATGTAGGCTTTCTTTTGCTCAGTTGTCTATCTAGATGATCACATACTGCTTCAATAATGCGGAAGTCTGGGCTCTGGGGAGGATTCATCCCTCTTCAGGACGCGGTGCCACCGTTTTCAGCCCATTTCCTGTGTCATTTAACACAGCTCGGCCATTATTCCCCATATCCCTTCCTTAATAACGTCTTCTTGACAGCTTGCCGTGACGGGCTCCCTATCAAATGCTGTTCCTCTGATGCAGATTTTATCTTTATATTTATACCTGCCACTCATCTTTTTGTCATCCATTAGCTAAGTCCTTCACGGTTTAAGGACAAACTGCTGACATATTCCTAGACCTGGCTCGCGATTTTTTGGGGGGAAATCACCCTGTTTGTGTAAATTGTCCTTTTATATCTGTAAAACTAATCAGGTTAGACACTTGAACTGGGTGCCTTTTTTTCTAATTTGATTTATGGGACAATGTTGGCTTGGTTGGACATTCCACTGGCAGTGGTCAGACAGAGCGAACTGAGCATCCAACGTGCACAGAAAGACCCTCAGACAGCCATGATGGCTTCAGATTACGTCCTTTTCTTTCATGGCTTCTTGACAGCAATATAGATAAAGATATGAGGTCTGGCATGACGCTACATCGGAGAGGGCCTTTAAATGGCACTTTTCTAGTCCTACTGACAACTCAAAGCCTTTTAAAGTGCTTTCCTTTCATAAACAGAGCACCTCCCCATCAGATACAACCCCACACCACCCGTTTACAGTATGTGGGGAAATTGTGGGACCATTTTACTAAGTGAAACGTCAACACATGAGCTGCAGAAGATAGATTTGATCAAATGTTTACAGTTATTTACTTCAGATGTAGCAATACTGATGGATTTCATTGGAATTTGACATTGCGTAGAATGCGCTTAATGCGTGCTTGATACTAACAGCTGCCAGCAGAAACTGCACACTCCACTGTACAAAGTCAGCCCTGCCGCATGGCCAGTGTCATTTCCAACCGTTGTGAACTATTCGTGCCAGTGTGACCTCAAACACGGGTTTCATTATCACCCCTCACCTGCTTCCGGGCTGTGCGACTGCTCCACCAGGAAGTCTCTAATTCTCTCAACCCACAGGTAAAGGATGCTCTCCCCCGCATGCTCCCTGTTGAATTCAAGCATTTCAATGTGACTGTGGCCACACAAAGCCTTCACATGTTATTGCACTGCATCAAATAATAAATAAAAAAACACAATAATGAGAGCCTTTGTTGTGGCCGATATATCTCCGCATCGACTCCTTATGAAGTCCGAAATTATGAAAGGCACTCACACATAGATGTCTTCCAGGCTATTTGCCAATTTGGCCCTCTCTGGGCCTCGCAAACACGCCGCACTACAAAAGCCGAAAAACAAACACAGGGGTTATTGAGCGGGGCCAGGAGTGGGTTTTTTCTTTTGAGTGGGATGCTGTTCTTTCAACTCAGCTGTTATATGACATCTGAAAGTCAAATAGACTTACTTGATCTGGTAGATAGGTGGAGCTGCACTTGGATAATCAGGTGGGAGAATTATCTGATCGTTGAGAAGAGGGGAAAAAACTTGAACTGCATTGTCCACAAAACACTTGGATTAATATGTAATTTCTGCTTTTTTCCTTTTTTTCCTGCACCTGCAAACATGCTGTCAGTTTTGGCTCCTCGAAGTCGCTGGATATTTTGATGCAAAACACTCTGGACGCCTCATCTATTACGCACCATTCATCACCGTAGATGGAAGACAAAGCCTCCACCTCTTCAATCTACATTAGACAACAACGATAACAAAGCAAAAAAATCATGAATAATCAGAGTCTGTACATGTCAATTATGGATTCATCCATACAGTAATAACAGGAGGAGGACCAAAGATGCAAAAAAGGCTTTAAAGTCTCTCATCATATGGCTGTTAAGATACATAGAAGGCCACAAAAGTGAGTCCCTTTCTTAGTATAAAATACAACCGGCCAGTCTGCGATAGTAATAAGGGCTTTCTGTTTGGCCTTCAATGAAAGCACCATGTGAACTGGGGGAAATGACCCAGAAATGTCAAAGTGGCAGCCAGGATAAGAGCCAGCCGAATTCTGTAAATCCCGTGGAGAGAGGCTTTAATGTTTCCCTTTACTCGGAGAAAAACACCGGCCCATCCTTAATGAAAGAAAAGAGGGAATTCTGTCCCTGAGCTGCAACTTTCAAAGCGGCGGTTTCTCATCTTCACCACTAACGGGGACTCCTGAGAAGAAAGATGGAGATGTGAGGCTCCAGTGTGTGCAGCCTTTGTCTAGTTCTCAGTGCTTTTTCAATGAGGAAGCGTGATGATAACCTGATCCATACTCTGTCCCCATAGAACAGATCGGTCCGACTGCATCAGACACCGTTTTCATTTATAAGTCATATTATTACCTTTTGCGGATTCTTTTATTCATTTTTTTTGCACAGCTGTAGTCTCACAGCTGTCAGCCCACATCACAGCTCAATGCGACTGTAGCACAATTTCCGTTGCAATCTCGTTGGGGGGCAATTTTAAAGTTCCTCCATTTATCCATTTATCGCTCCTTCAACACGTGACATTTGTCAAAGAGGTCAGGCAAAAGTGGTCGGGGTATGGGAAGTATGCTTTTTAGAAACTATTTTAGTGCCCCGGCAAAGCACTCTACCTTTTTGTGAAAGAAAGATATATCAATCAGGGTAGAAAGAACCCTTAAAGAAAAGAATCCTTAAAGTAATCATCCTTTTTTTACTGTTTGGTATCAGAAGTGCAGCAGCCGAGCAGAGGATAACAAAATACATCTTTTCTCTTTTGGAAATAATCTGTACCCATAAAAAAAGGCATACAATTTATTTCTTAAAAGTAGTGTTTAGCTATTTAGCCTGCCTCTAAAACTGACCATCTAAGATAGTTGTTGACCAAATTTATCAGAGACCAATGTCCCTTTGACATCAGTCTGGTCAAAAAGTGGACGAAAAGTTTTTAACAGCCTTCAAAAACCCATCTGGGACATCTTTTTTATCCATAATCTAAACATGGAGTTCCAACTGAGAAAGAGACAAACAGTCTAAACCAGTAAACGCCTACTACACAAATAACAAACAGCCTGTTTCTTGAACCTGTGTTTGTCACTGGTTTAACTTGTGAGCCCACATGTACATGTTTTCCTCAGCTTGTCAGAGTGGATGTCAGAGAGGCTGTAAGCTTACTTGAGCTTGCAGATCGCCTTCATTCTCAGGATATGTGAAATCCGCCATTCACTCATCTTACTCAGTGTCAGCTACTGCAAAAAGGCGTCGGTGAGGGCAGAAAACCACGCATGAGACAGCTGGACAGCTGGGAAACATGAGAGATGAAGCCTGGATGAAAGTTCGAGTCTGAAACTGCTTCCAGGGCACGCCGATCCTCTGCGCCTGGGCTTTGACTTCCGGGTTCCAAAGGCGAAAAACAAACAAACAAACAGACTCATAATAAACTGACGATCTGTGTCTTGTCTCACTGTGTGCTTTGTTTTGTTGGGACAACGCAAGTTTTTTTTAAATACAGTTTTGTTTACAGTGCGTTAGTTTGGGGCGTTTCGCTCGCTGTTATTTTGAAAACCCTGAGCCGTCGAGCCACTTCCGGCGAGCGCAGATCAGCTGATCCCGGTGTAAACAGTCAGCGGCGACAGGAGAAGTGCGGGGAGCGGATGGTGCTACGCGTGATCCGCGTGTTTCTCTCGGCGGGTCGGCTCCCCACGCGGCCCGGAGCGGGCATGGGACGCGCACGGACCCTGTGGCGCAGCGTGACGCGGCGGCCGGCGCGCCCCGAGCTGTGCGCGCTGCTGTAGACCCGGCAGGAAGCGGCTCCAGACATCACATGCAGCCCCAGAGAGGCCCCCAAGAGAGAGCAGCTCTCGCTGAACGCTGGATCTAACGTCAACGGGCTGGAAAACAGTAAGAGTCACCGTGCGCTCTTTTCGGGTTTAGGGCCGTTTCTTCTCCTGAGGGTTTGCCCAGACGCGCACATCAGCTTTTGCCATGCGTGTCCCACCCTGACAGCATCCTGCAGTTTCCTCCTCCTAATTTAAATGTCATGTTTTTATTTGTTGATTGAGCTGAAAGTGTTACAGGAAATAGCGACCCTCTGCAGAAAAGCGGCCGATTGAACTACTCCGTAATCTGTTCTGGAGGCAGAGGCTCACTCCTAATCCACCCTGAGGCTAGAGCCCCCCTCCCCGCCCCCCCTTCAGAGGGTCACAAGATAGCGTCCGGGGTTATCCCATGGTTATTGGGGCAGGAGAAGGGGAAAAAAGCGCACACGCGTATGCTCTGTTTGTGGCGTTTTCTAGAATAGATGCCTATAATTGAGTTTAAGCCTCAAAAATGTTATTTAATTGGAACCATCTGAGAAGTTAATACTGAAGATTTTACAGAGCTGCGTACAAGTCCACCACAATTGTGGGTGTTACCCAATAACATTGATGCCAAGAATCTTAAGTCTGTTTTGTTTGGGGATTTTTGGTTGATTTCTTTTTTGTGTGTAAAATCCTATTATTGATTTCTTTTTTGTGTGTAAAATCCTATTATAATTACAATTCTAATGCATGTTAAAGAAGGAATGTATCCATCCTAATACACACTGAAGTGTACGGACAAATGGAAAGACACAACAAAATCACACAAAAAAGGACACCTCACGGTTTGGGCTTCATTTTCTGGTTCCATCGATAATAATTTGAATAACTGAAGTAACAGTATATCTTTGATTTATTCCTTAAGGATAGAGACAAGAAAGCACTGTAATGATAATCATGTTTGTACATTATGAATACACATAAATCTGTGTGCATTTTTTAAAGATCCATCCATTTTTTTAGCATCCATTTTGATAGTTGTGTATTGATTGAGTCAGGACCAGGATGTGCACATGAGGACATTGTTTAGGAAAAACCAAAGCCAATACATTGAAAGTTTGGCAAGTGCGGGGATGACACAGCAGCAGTCTGTCATGGGACATTTAAAGGTGGTTTCCTGATGCTGCTGCACACAATAGAGAGACGAGTGTCCGAGGAGTCACATGCTCTCCAATCTCAGGTAAACCTGTTTCTGTGCCACTCCTGAGTGTTCCTCTCATGGCCCTGATATCAGGCGTGATTCAGATAAATGAAAGCCCTTTTGCGTTTTGTTGTGAGGTGGCATGAACAGAATGATTAGAAAACCAGCACTCTTTTGTGTTTTCTATTCCTCATTCATCCTGGATTGAGTAATGTAGCCTTAGTTGTCAGACATTGTTTATTTCAATCTTCAGAATTAAGGAAAAGAGACTCGTTTTGAAAACTAATCCACATTCAAAAGGCATTATTCTTTTGAAATGGTACTTCTCTGACAAATCTGCTGAAAGCGGACCATTTTTCCCATTTCTGCTGATGTTAATACCCTTCCGATGTCAGCGTAATTTATCGGTGCTTCCTCGCAGTCATATGACCTACCATGAAATTGCCTTATGAAGTTTTTTCCTTTTTCTTCCTTTTTAAGTCAATACATATCAATTATCTGATTTCAGACATGCCGTAGAGTGTCATGTGCAGATGTTTGGTATTGAGGAAGGAGAGGGAACTCGTTGCTGTCTTGCGCGTCTGGTCTGGTGACCGTTGCCTTTTGAAATGTGGATTTCCCTCTTCTCGTCTTTGACGGTTGCTTCTTCCTCCCTGTCTAACAAAACAAACTCTTGTGACTTTTTCCTCACATGTCTTGACAGTTGAGAGATCATGACTTGTTGCGCAATTAAGGAGGTTTTGAGCAGTCGTAATAAAGGTGTAGTCTAATGAAGAATCTGTATGGGCGACTTGTTCTGATGTGCAGAAACCTCCATTAGATGGTGAGTTTCCTTTTCAATAAGCAGGCATCCTTTAAAGCCATCTGTGTGGCAATTGTTGCTCTGCAGGGGTCCATGGAGGAGCTTGACCCAGAGGAGCAGTTCCTGCGCTGTGCTCGGAACGGAGACCTGGCCGGGGTTCGGCGGCTCCTCGTGGCCAAGATTAAAGAAGAAGCGCACCTTAACATCAATTGCAAAGGTATGCCACGAGCACACGTGACTGTTATTATTTTTGCAAAGTGTTTACGATTCACATTGCATGACGATGGGCTGCTTTCTCAGGTAAGAGTAAGTCTAACTTGGGATGGACGCCTCTTCACTTGGCTTGCTATTTTGGTCACAGAGACGTGGTGGAGGAGTTGCTCAAGGTAGTGTTCCCTTTTCAACAAAAGGTGGAGATTATAAACCGACTGCATAGGTAACGGGTGTTTCATCATTCCCCGCAGGCCGGGGCAGATGTGAACTTGCCCAATAATATCGGAGATACGCCTCTCCACAAAGCTGCCTTCACAGCGAGAAAGGTATGTGTTGTTGCTTTTTTCGGATTCTAATATTCCATCCTACACCGTGCATCTGTTTGTCAGTTGTGGGATTTTGTGCATGCATTTATTCACTCATTCATTCAATCAAACGGTAAATCAATCAATCGCGTATCGATCAGGAGGTTGTCATGCTGCTGCTGCACTATGATGCATGTGCTACTGTCATCAATGGGACAGCACAGATTCCCAAAGATGTCACTCAAAACGCAGAGATCAGAGGCATGCTGGAAGGTGAGAGAAAACACTTGCCATTCAAGAGTTAACAGAGTTTATTCATTCTGGTCTTGACTGTTTTGAGGTTTGTTCACATGCGTTTTATTACTCTGTGCATGTTGGGCATTTTCCTGTCATGGATTCTGTTGCGTGACTGATTCCAGCGGCTGAGAGAACAGAGGAGAGGAAGCTGGAGGAGAAGCTTTTAGAAGCTGCTCGTGAAGGGGAACTGTCAACACTGACTCAGCTGGTTAGTGTCAAGTACTGGTGCTCACTGTAATAGTGTACTGTGCTGTTTTACTTTTGCTATAATATATTATAATGCTTTGTTTAATGATTTGGATACATGTGTTAAAGGATTTGGGTATATGTGTACAAATTCCAGAAAAGGACATCTCTTTTTCATGAAGCACTCTTCTAAATGCACTTGTCAATCCCTCTTACAGAACAGTATTTACCAAAAATTATAGATCTAAATGTTCCTTCCCCCACTGGGCTAAACCAACGTCACAAGAAGTAACTTATATTAAAGTAGTTTAGTAAAGTAAATCGACCTCAAAGCATTTCTATTGTGAGTATATTAGCATAGTATGACTCTTCTTTGTATATGCAGTGGCAGTTAATCACCACATATTCACTGTTTGGTCAGACATGACATTTTTCAATCAGTGCCAAAAGATCCCTCACACACATGCGTCAACAAAAAGGTGGCAGAGAGCCATGTTCCAGTCGCTCGGTCAGTGTGAAAAATCAAAGGCGCCAAGTGTCATTTTGTTATCTGCATAATGAATCATTTCTGGGTGCTCAGACGTCACCTCGGTTCCTGTGTGTGCTTCGCTGCAGCTTAACAGAAAGAAGCCTCCAGATATCAACTGCACAGATCTTCTGGGCAACACTCCGCTGCACTGCGCCGCGTATCGGGGCCAGAGGCAGTGCGCCCTGAAGCTGCTCAAGAGCGGAGCCAGCCCCAGTTCAAAGAACAAGAATGGTGAGACGCGTCGCCCGGAGTTGGCAACCGCGAATGAGTGGGAACATCTATTGCTTTCCTTTTCGGTTTGCTAATCTCATTACAAGGCCAATACCAACAAAGAATTGACCCTCTCACAATTCGTGCCAAATATGTCGAAACGATTTAAATGACTCTGAAAACCATCCTCGCTGACTTTTGTGAATGATTAAAAAGTAAACTGTCACTCAAAGAGAAAAATATAAAATGTCAGCAGCCTTTGGCCTTCACTAGCTTTAATCTCGACGCTTTTCTCTCAAAAATGCTCCCTCGGGTTATTCATGACAGTTTCATTTTACAAGGTACGCCTCAGGCTCCTGTATTGAGACAAAAATAGCTGCATTGTTGGCTCGCGGCTTCATTTCTCCGGGGAAGTTTCACACTGTAATCGTCTTTGCCAAACACCACTCTCTTCTGCTGAGTTCCCGTCACTTGGGCTGGATCACCGGCGCTAAAATGCATTTACGGCTGCTGTCACAGACACTGTTTCCCTCCCTCCACATGTGTGCGTTCTGTTGTGCTAAAGCTCCGCTCATTTCCTTCATCCTCCACGCACAGACCAGACGGTGTTTGACCTGGCCAGCGACACGGCCATGAAGCAGTTTCTGGAGGCCAGTGTCCACCGAGTGAGTGTCGAACAGGCAGTCCTCAAGTCATTTAAAATTACTCTTGGAATTTTTGGGGTTAATCCTTTGTGTTTCCTCATCTGTGTGCCCGGCAGGGTTTGACCCGTCACGTCAAGAAGTATGAAGGCCCCCTCTGGAAGGTAAAATCTGGGGTGCTGTTTTCTTTGGTGGTTGACATTCATTAAAGTTAAAAAATCACAAAGAAGGCTGAGAAATTATTCTCCACAGTTTGATAGCTCCTGTTTTGTCTGTAGAGACTGACGGCTACAGAAAACTCAGTTCATTATATTTGATTGTTTACCTTATCAGCATTGGCTCTGTGGCCATGAAGCAAATAAACCAACCAAAAAAACTTGGTGCTCACTCATACATATCCTCTGTTAGAATATTTATGAGTGGAAAGTGATCTGATTTTGGAGTATTGAGAAGTTCTCACAATCCAGTGTGTTGTGGCTGATGAAACGCAAAGCAGTATTTGCAGGTTACTCTGTTTCTTTTTTCAAATCTACTTCAGCAGCTCCTTCAGTATTTGGAATTTTTACAGAGCAGAACCTTTAAGTTTCATACATTACCCGAGAAAGTCCCGGATGTCTGTGTTGACTTAAAACAAATACATTTATGACATTGCACTACAGAAAAGGGTCTTCAGTTTTGCAAGAAAAGCTGTCGAGTGGTACATACTAAAACAAACTGCTCATTTTGTTCCCCCTCATGAGATGCTGGATGCTCTGCATACTTAAGCAAACAGAGATTCACACAGGTCGAGCCGACAGACTTCCAATTAGCTCCACAAAGGTACAATAGAAAGCAGACACGTAGCTTTTTGTGTTTTATTCATTCAGCGGATAGAATGTTGTAGATGAGGCAAAAAAAAGTTTAAACTGACTTAATTCTGTTGACACCTCAACCAGTACTTTTCTTTGGTATCAATTTGAAGTCATACAACCCACAGGTTGAGAAAAATTAACACGTTTTCTACAAAAAAGCAACAAAGGCTTGTGTCTGTGGTCGGCCAGGTGCTGTGTACCTCTATTTCCAATGTGCATGTTTGAAGGGTGTCAGGATTGGGTATAAAAGATACTTCAACCGAAGATTTATTGTAGCCACTTAATGCTGAGATATTCATGAAAGAACGTCAAACAGAATGTTAATTCATCCCAGTAACAAGAGAAATGACAGCATTAATGGAATGTATCGGTCCCCTGTCATTTCACTGAGTGACTGTCTTCATTACTGCCACGCAGCCCTCACGTTTTCATTACACTCATTTATACATTTGCACACCATATTTGTTAGGTTCGATAGCCCAAAACGAGCACAGTTTTAATCATCATCTTGGTCTTTATGTGATAGCATTTCAGAAATCAGAATAAATTATGACAACTGGTGAACAGAAAAACAAACAAAGCAAACCTAGTTGTTGCTCGCTCTTTTATTTAGTCTGCAGCTGTGCTGTAATGATTTTTAGCTTTAAGGTATGGATTGTGATTAAATGATGTATTATCCAGTAATTGGGTTAAGTAAAAAAAAAAAAAAGGTAATTGTGTCTCCCCTAATTCAATCGAGGACTTTTTTCTCTGTTGAATGGAACCAGTCCCACTGCTTCTCTTACTAGCTCTCAGCCATTATTGAAATTGGACGAAAATAAGGAGTCAGTAAAGACGACTTAATCCTGAACCCTCTTTATGTTCCGCTCCACAGAGCTCCAGGTTCTTTGGCTGGCGCTCCTACTGGGTGGTTCTTCAGGATGGGGTTTTATCCTGGTACTCAAAACAGTAGGTTCATCTCTCACCTCTGACCCTTTCAGTCTGGCTTGAATACAGGGGACGGATAAATTAGTTAGAAATACAGTGTTTTTGTCCTGCCTATTGAAAATCTTTCCCGTATTGAGATCCCAAACGTAGACCTCATTCCCCTCTTACTGTCCGCTATGTAGGTCAGATGCAGCTGCCAATGTCAAGCGGCAAGGCTGCAAGTCCCTCACAAATTCTCACTGCTTGGTAAGTCAGCTTTTAAGAATTCCGCTTTCATGTTTCAACCCTGCATGAAATCTGCACTTGCATGACTTCTAAACGAGTTCATGTCTCTGCTCCTCCTATTTCCAGATGCGAAACAAAGACAACTGCTATTTCTCCCTCAAGTGTTTTGACGACAGTGTGCATCACTTCAAAGTGTCCCCTAAAAGTGACCCGGAGGCTACAAGGAAAGTAGGTCCAACTCTTCCTCTTGATGGCATAAGAATCGGGGAAAGTGGACACGGCATTATCATTTCCTGTCAAGTGAAGGCTAGAACAAAAGGAAGGGTTTTTCTGATTGTTTTGCTGATCAGCTTGCAAAACAAAACTGATTGTTTTAGTCAAAGGTTGCTGCGTTTCTGGGGATTTGGAATCAGTTTACCCATACAAAGAATAAAGAAATGTACAAACAAATACCAGAAGATTGCTCGTTTTGTGCAGTACAATAACTAGCGTTTTTGGACAACCTGCACAGTGTATCTGCCATAGAAACAAAAGCTGAACTCCCCTAATCCTTCCATTTGCTCATGTGTAAGAGGAAGTTGCTTGAAATCTTGTTTGCAAGAGTTTGAGTCTGCTCAAACAAATTCTTTGAATTGCTTTGAAATAGATAGAAATGTTAATCTTTATGTATATATATTTTTTACCTAATAAGCACAAAAAAACATGGAAATACATGCAACGGCATCTAGAATGTCGGTAAAAGTGTGTCCAAACTTTTACCCCGTTTTTCAGACACAGCCTTGCATATTTCAGCAAGACATTGCTCAACTGAAGCATGAAGCACATTATATGCTATAAGATGGCCAAGGATTCATAGAATCCTAAAGCAAAAAGGACTGGAAAATTATTTCAGTAAAGGCCCAAGCACTCTTTAAGTCCCAGTTGTTTTCACCACTGTTAGAAGAAAAGGGGATCATGAAAAGTGTTTAGCAGGACCCTCTTTTTTGAGACATATCCTTGCCATCAAATTGTGCCAAAAATCGGCTTGTCACAGATGGCCATCTGCTAAATGCCCAGTTTTGGCTGAATTGATGCCAATCACTGGGTCACTCCCTAACCCTTGGAAGGCGACCAAAAGTCAGGGGAGAATTGATCTTTTAGAGCGGGGAATCTCAAAGAATAAAATTGGTCATACCAATAAGAGAAATCTGTCTTCTTTCTTGACTTCCATGATGTTTCGAAATGACAATTCACATGTTGTTTCATATGCAAATGTCCATTTTAGCATAACATCCTAACTGTCATGTCTCTCCCAGGCGTGGCTGGACGCTCTGGAGGAGCATTCGGCCTACAGCACACATTATTGCTCCCAAGAGCAGGACAGCGAGGATGAGGATGAAGAGCCAGCCATCTCCCTCGGGGAGCTAACAGAGTCCCTGCAGGTATTTTAATGGCAAAAAATGATAGTGTTGTGGCAAAGGCAACTTTGGTGAATATTGCAACGTTCTGTATGACAATTTTCTCTTTGGCCACTACATAATGTGAGTTTTATGGAAGGGCTGCCCATTACCAAAATAATTCTTATTTCTTCAAGGGTCAATACAACAGTATGTAGAAGCTCTTCAGTGCAAATTAGGTGTTAACACTAATGGTTTTACAAGAAAAATCTGAATATTAGGGAAATTTTTTTTTTTTTAATAAGACAACAGATTGTATTTATTTACTGAACTGGAATGTTTTAATGGTCGAATGTTACACTTGATGCATTTCTGACTTCTCAGAGAATCCTTGTGAGTTGGCTGAAATGTGGGCGAAAACTGTGAATCTGGCTCCAAATCCTAATTAGTCCGACATGATAAAACACTGAGAGCTCAGTACAAATGAAAGAGTCCTAATTAAAGAAGGTCAGAATGCTCGATGGTACCTGGGACAAAGAGAAACACGAGAAACACATCGGTTTGCTATCAAATAGACTTTTCTTGCAGAGACTTGCATTTACAAAAACAAGAAGAAAAACAAAAAAACAAGAAAAGGAGTTATTTTGCTATTTCATTTTATGTGCCAAATTAACAGCTAAGATTTTTTAGTTCTAAACACATTTTCGAAAGAATTCTGTAATTTTTTAAAGCCTTCCTTGTTTTTCTAATGGGTGGTGAGGCATATATATATGTATGTATTTTCTAATGTATGCTGCAAATTTCAAGTATATTCCATAATAATCTGTTCATACTGATCATTCTTTGAAGATAAGTCTGGTGCAGCGTGTTGTATTCTACTGGTCTGTAGTCCAGTGCAGCTCTCTGTCACCGGCCGCTGCTTTTCTTGATCCGCATTCTTCTCACGTCTCTCCGAAATTACCAGGCAGCGGAGGTCAGCCAGAAGAAGCTGGAGAAGGAGGTGGCAGCTTTCCTGTCCATTCTCAAAAATGATGGGCTCTCAGAACGTAGGCCTGTTTTTTATATACATATATTTTCCCCTTTCATCTTAGTTAGCTCTTATTGTTACACTCTGCTACGCTATGCATAGATGAATAGCAAATTAAAAGAGAAACAAACGTAAACGATCTTGGTGTTGCGCTAGAATTCCTTAACACTGAATGTACAGCACTCTACAGCCTCTGCAAGCAACCTGGAGGAGTGATCAAACATTGTCTTTTGAAATGTATATCGTTTTAATGATATGCAGTGGCTTAAAAAGCATGTACCCTATAACTATAATTTTCTGATTAATCAAATAGTTCAAATCATTCAGTTCCCGCTGGTCTCATATGGTTAGTGGTCAGTGTCCTTGCAGAAAAAAGGCCACTTCCTTTGGAGACCCAGCCCCAAACAAACTAAATAACTAGATTGCTGCGGAGCCATTAGGGATTCATTATGATTGAACCTAATAGTATCATGAAAAAGAATCATTTTTTGGATGAATGTCTGAAATAACCCTAATTACTACCATCTGTTTTCACACAAGTGTTGTTTACAGAGTGTAGGCGGGGAGGTTGTGTCTGTGTCTGTGTGTGTGTATTTTCTATTTCAGCTTATTCGTTTCTGTATTTAATTTTAATCACCAGTTTGTGTCGTCGCAGAATTTCCACCGACGATTCTACACAAAATGCAAGAAATCGGTGAGCTGTCCAGCAGGACTACCTCCACGCTCAGCGTGTGTCTCAGCCTCTTCTCCAGGCAGGAAGGGGTAAGTGTCATGGACAGACTTGTGTGTACGAGTCCTTTTGTACCAGGCTAAGCCCTTTTTCTCAAGTACTACACAACATTTCAGCTTCACTACCTGTAGCAGAATTTTATATAAGATTATTGAAATAAAATCGCTGTTGACAATATCTTAGGTTTATGACACATTAACTAGTCAAGGCCTCACTCTGGTTAAGGACTGGTGGGAGGTCTTCAAGGCCTCTGTAGAGACCATGAGAGCCAAGGAAGATAACATTTCCTTTGTGTTACCATAAAAAATTGAATGCTTTAATCAAAAGTGCCCATATTATTTGTGACCCTCTGTTATATACAGTATCGGTGTCTTATCTTTAAGGTTCAGATGTAAGAAGGAGATCATTTGCGATAATGAACTTGCACAGTTCTCACCTCATCTTCTTAGCTCAGTGGAATGCAGCGATTAAGGGCTGTGTGTTATTCAATAGGTCTGATTATAATGGAGGGGTACAAGTGCTTCCCCACAGTTATGGATGAAGTTCGGTATTGAAAAAATACCTCAACAGTGAAAGGTTGAGATTGGTTGAGATTGGTTGAGATTGGGAGAAAATTAAGCCAAAAACAAACAAAAAAAATTCTCCCAAAAGTAGATACAACTGATACATGCGATTTATACAGCATGTGACAATGGAAGCTTATCTGATTTCTCTCTTTATCAAAATCTGCTTGGTTTTGCTCTCTGTAAAGTCGATTGTTGCAAGATTTGCTCTGAAGATTTGATGGTTTTTAATTCTTTACTCACGGATTTTTACTGATTCGCTGAGGATAATTCTCTGCACTTTATACACCAGAATCGGATCTAAAGATAACACGAAAATAACTATTAGACCCTTGTCTGAGTGCTAAAGCCTCTGTGTATCATAGCAGATGAGTGAGCTGTAGGTTGTGTTAACCCATGTGTACTCACCGATCCACCATGAGGCACAGATTCACTCTGTCTGTGCGTGACATGAATAAACCTGTGAATATCACAAGCCGTACGGAGAAGTAGAAGAAACCCCTCTCAGTCTGCATTATTACCTTTTTACGCATACTAGCTTAGACTAATACTTTAGTCAAACAGGAGCGTTCAGTTCCTGCGGGGTGTTCGGAAGAGATGCTGCCTCTGATCTTAGCAGAGACCGCCAGAAAACGTTTAGCTGGCTTCAACAGCCCGCCGAGTTTCCTCCGCGTTTGCTCCCGCACGGGGCCTCCATCGCTCAGCTGCGCAGCCTTTTGAACAGCGCGGCGCACAATGAAAGCCTCACAGGATCTCCGAACTCCCCTTGTGAATAGGCCTGATCTCCGTAGGAAGAACTCAGAGACACGCTGTAGAGGATGACTTACAGGCTGAATGAAGCTGCCGGGCCCCCCTGCTCATCACATCCTGCAGAGGAATGATTCTGAATCGTGTCCAACTCCTGCAGCTCCACCTCTTAAGAGGTCCGCTGCCAACATTTCCCCTTTGAAGTTCATGGCAGTAAAGTGATGAGAAAGGGATCTGAAGCACTCTTCATCTGGCTGCTCCTGTCATGTGGCTGATAATAGATAATCATTCATTTAGTGTCTTTGACTGCCTGGTGGAGGTGCTTGAACTAGATTATCACACTGTCTATCTACCAGAGCGAAATAGGACCCTTTTTTTTGGACAGGTGTGGGTCAGGACGAAGCTCTTCTTAGCAACAGTAATATTTCGCACCGAATGAAGGTTCAAGTACGGTTAATTCAGAATCCATTACCTGTCATTCGATCCCTGGCGACTCCGGAGGAATCATGTTCTCCGACAGGCCATTCGAGACGGCAGCGCCGAGGCTGCTGTCCTCATTTACAGAAAAAAAAACAAAAAAAAAACACGGCTCATCTCCCTGTCCGTCTCGGCCTGCCTCTGTGGGTCGCATAATGAGGAAACGGAGCAGAGGGGAGGACCAGTCCCTCAACCCGCCGCCTGTTTACAGACCTGCCACCACCAAAGTCACACATGATGCTCATACAAGCTTTGTCCTCTGTTTCAAACGGGGGGCGGAAATAAAATTTCGGTAGCACACACCTTCAGTTCCTGGTTATCCAACACATAGTATAGAATTCATGTTGGTTTGTCTTTCTGTGAGGGACTAATCGGTTCGTCTGGATCTGTGGCGCGTGTGTGCATGCGTGTGTGCGTGTGTGTGTGTTTCTGTTTGTGTGCAATGAGCTCAGGTGCGCAGCCTGAAATTGGAGCAGGAGGTGGAGAAGAACAAGATCCTCTCCGAGGCACTACAGACTCTGGCCACGGAGCACCACGAGCTGGAGCAATCCGTCGTCAAGGGATCTTCACCGCGGAGTGCCCTCAGCGAGGATGAGTTCCACGACGCCGTGTCTGGTGAGTTGACAAGTTACCGAACACACTCTGGACACCGAGGAGATTCTGTGACAGGCTCCCGTCGGCGCTCGCTGCTCCCTCATTCACTGGAATATATATTATTTTTTTTCCCGCCAGTGAATGCCCATCGGTATGTTTTCCTCTCCTCGTTGCTGCAGGCGCTGCCTGGTCGTGAGGAAAGGTTTCGCATCTGCCTAATGGTTGCTGAATCTCTCCTTTTTAGCTCTGAAACCAAAAATTGGCACGCCTCTTGGGAGTGTGCAGTTGCTTTTGATTAGCTCAAACCTTTGACCCGACCCATGCAAATGTCAGGACACAGTACGTGACGGGTTTGTTTGGAAGAGAGCATGGGTGCATCATAGTTGAGTATCAGGTCTGCATGGGAAGTTTGTTTTCGTATTCGGAGAGTTATTTTCAGTCCTGATAAAGCAGATTAGACTAAGTAGGTCCATTTGATTTGATATTACTGACTGATATTACTAGTGTTAGGAGGATTGCTTTCAGTTGAAACGGAATAAAAAAAAAAAAAACATTTTCAGAGATGTCATAGTTCCACTCCAGTTCTCGTTATGCTTTCCATTATTTGTTCTGCCTTTTTTTTCTTTTAGCATTTGAATTTTGCTTAGCATTTCTTTTATCTGAACCATTCAGGACTGTTTTTATACTCCTAGTATCTTTCTGTTTATTTGGGTATAGGGCCTTTTCTTCTTTTGTTTTTTTTAAAAGGAGCCTTTTAACAAAATAATCATTTATAGCCTCAGCAGAAAAACATGGCTGTCAAAGGTACTAAAGCCGCCATAGTTTAGTTCTAACAATACAAAGAGGAACATTTTTTAGAGCTTAAACTGAAAGGTCAACTTGTTACAAAGCCATCAAACAATGGAGTTTCTTCAATCGAGGAATTCTTCAGCTCTGTGTAGAAAGAACCTTTACAGGAGGCCATTCCTGCCCACAGTACTGCACCTACTCACTCTTTGTAAAAACAAAAAAATTCAGCATAATCTAACTCATTTTATCTAATTTTTAATGAAATCTATCTTTACATTTCTCGTAATGATATTATGTTCCAATCATTGAAAAAGCACCAATCAATAATTAATGGATTGTAATTAAATTCTGCGGTAGATGTGAACAATTTTGAATAATTAGCAGTAAAAAATATGTTTAATGAACTTGAAAAATAAACAATAGGTGCTTATTATGATGATTATTATTATTGTTATTCTCTAGTGTAAAAGAAATACATAAACAGCATAAACCATCTGCCTAAGAAAGTAATAGTGTACAAAGCTGGTCCAGAGGGGGGGCATTTTTATGCTGCAAATGAATCGCATAAACAAATTGATTTGTCTGATTTGTCTATGTTGGAATTGGGGTGACCACGGCTCAGGTGGAAGAGCTGGGTGTTCGGTAATCGGAAGGCTGGCGCCGGCTGCCTTTAGTGCTCCGGAGTGTGTGTAGAAGTGAAACACAATAAAGCGATTTGTGGCACTAATGAGGGTTTAAAGATGCAATATAAGAACGCCAGAAGTGTTTGCTGCTTGAATCATCGTCATACACTGTGTGAAAAACAACCCAGAACGCTGGTTGTCATTGGTTCAATGAATTCTTTGTCAAACAGAGCACATTATGAGCTTTTGAAACCATCTCTATGCGTTTGTCAGAATCAGACTCGGAGGGCTCACTGAGTGGCTTTGAGACGGTGGCCAGCCATTCCTTTGAGGAGGACGAGGAGGAGGACGAAGGTTCTGTCATGCTAAGCAGCCCATGCAGCAGCCCCACCACCAGCATGTTGCAAGAGCATCGCCATGGGGACCGGGATGAGACTCAACCCAACGGGATCGCAAAGCATAGGTCAGCAGTGCAATATGCCCCCACAGCTCCTTAAATTGGTCTCTCACCCCCGGTGCCTTTCATCTACAGTTTAAAGACGCACGAATGCTGCAAAGTGCCTATCTTCTCTGTCTGTTATTTGCGCCTGTATTTCACAAGTCGCTCTGTTTTTCAGCAGAGTGGGCTTTTTTTCCCCCTTTTTTTTTTTTAAACCCGCTCTTTCTCTGGTCTTTCCACTTCAGTGTGTTAATAATTTAGAATCAGGGTTAGTCTGGTAAAGACGCTGGAAGGGGCTCCATTGACGGTGTTGAGTTCAGTGTCAACACTGTTAAATATTGATTAGGTCATAGTGTAATGCACCAATCAGTCAGCAGAATGAGCCTCTGTGTGTGCTCATCGCTTTGTGTCTTTAGAGTCTGGCTTTCATGATTCGGATCTATTTTAAATGTCCAAATATGTTTATCTCTTGTTTAGTCCCCACATTTTCAACGGAGGTTATCGCTTATTTGCCTGAGTTATGTTAATATCTTTCACATAAATTAATTTGCTTTTTTGGAAAACTAGCCCAAAATAAATGAATCTGCTTAATCTTGTTTTTCAGGACAAGCTTACCCGCACCAATGTTTTCGAGGAATGACTTCAGCATTTGGAGTATTCTGAGGAACTGCATTGGAATGGTAAGTATCCTGTTGAATTTAAATGCTCATTACCCCCATCATACAGTATGTAGTCAGTCCACTTGGCTAAATTTGTATTTCTCTAGTCAAAAATAGATTTGGTCATAAAGATGAATCCTGTTGATGTGACGATCCTGCTACTTACTGTGGACTGATCAAATTATAGAATACCATGATTTATTATATTTAAACAGTATTATAGCAAAGATTTGAACGGAGAGGTACAAAACATCATCAGAACGTGAACAAAACAAAATGTCCCTAGTGTGCCACCCATATGGTTTTACCCATCTACTGCACTGCACCAAAACACAGTCAGAGGCCACCTGTTGAATACGGGGAGCCCTTGGCAAATAAAACACAAACAATTTCCACAAGAGGCGACTCAAGAAATGACTTACTAATCTACATTTATTTAGAAAAACAGTGACAGATTAATGCTTACTGAAGCATCATAGCTGGATCTGTATTTTAACGTCTGTTTAATGGTGACAACTAAAGTGACATTAAGAGAACTGTCCTTTAATGCATTTCTTAATTTGTAAATATGTCTAGAAAAGCTGCTGAACACTAGCATTAGCACTACGCTCTGAATTCTCCCGAGCCCCTGGATAGCCTCAGAGAGGCTTGTCAAACAGTGTGTACAATGTGAGGGGGTTTTGTGTTTCCCAATTAGGAAACAAAAGCCTGACAAGGAATGTAAAAACCCTATAATCCTAGTAATCATGCACTTTGAAGTTAGATTTACCGAAGCTATTCTACAGCTACCAGAGTGATTGCTGCGTGGGGAGCTTTTTTTTCCTAAGCAACATGAATATCAAACCATATTTTGCTTAAAATGCCTTTAAGTTTTTTCATCACTCAGGTGGATACTTCCATTTCGAGGGATTGCGGTGGGAAACGACTGTTTTCCTCCTTGTGATGAAATCCGTCCCTTATTCCCCACCCTTGTGTCTCTTTTCCAGGAGTTGTCCAAGATTACAATGCCAGTGATTTTCAACGAGCCCCTGAGCTTTTTGCAGCGTCTGACGGAGTACATGGAGCACACGTATCTCATCCACCAGGCCAATGCCTCGTCGGATTCCATCGAGAGGATGAAGGTAAGGTGCACCGTAAAGTCCTGGAAACCGTGTGGTCCAGTGACCTGGAACAGCCCCATCATGGGAGCAGCTTAATGGACTTTAACTTTGAGCTTAGCTGCTGTTTGTTGTTTGTGTCTCTGGCAGTGTGTGGCTGCGTTCGCTGTGTCTGCCGTGGCCTCCCAGTGGGAGCGGACAGGGAAACCATTCAATCCTCTGCTTGGAGAGACCTATGAACTGGTCAGGTGAGTGGGATTACACCCCGTTCATGACTGATTATTGGGAGTTTGTCTAAAATAACAACGGAATGTTGGTTGCATAAGATGAGAATAGTTTAGAAAGGTATGAATAACTTAAAAATAGACAGTTTCTTGCAAACTTGAAATGCAAAACTGGACGTACATAACAAAATGGAATTAAATGGATTTAACAGGAAATATATCTGTATCCATTTGTCAAATTTACATTTAGTTTATTTTAGTTTTTCCATCCTACCCTCACTTTTCAAAACTTGAGCATAAAACACTATCCTTTATATTAGCTTACCAAACACACGCAGCCCATCTGAAATGCTTCCCACTCTTTTCTCAGAGAGGATCTGGGTTTTAGGCTGATATCAGAGCAAGTGAGTCACCACCCGCCGGTCAGCGCCTTCCATGCTGAGGGCCTGAAGGAAGACTTTGTGTTTCACGGATCGATCTACCCTAAACTTAAATTCTGGGGAAAGAGTGTGGAGGCTGAGCCGAAAGGTGTCATCACGCTGGAACTGCCCAAGTAAGTACAAAGGAAAGGTTGTTTTTAAAAAAAAAAAGGAAATTAGAGCAACTTCAATCATAACTCAATCAATAAAATTACTTTATTAATCGTTTTCCAGCTTCCTGTACAATGAAATTCAGCATTTCTGTACAACCCGTCGAAATCGGACAAAGCAACAGACGCATAAACACACAGGGCTGCAATTTAGGCTTATCTTCTGGTTCTAGCCAACATTTGTTTCAGGCAGATTTCCGCTTCCCCAAAGCAGTAATCAGCATTTAGTAGTTTAGTTCTGTCAAATTGAATTTCTGTGCGACTGATATGAAGTTATCTGGCATTACCATGGAACCCTCTTAACGCACCCTGCCCTGCTGATTGGTTGGTGGTTGTTTCTGCAGGCACAATGAAGTCTACACATGGACAAATCCGACATGTTGTGTTCACAACATCATTGTTGGTCAGCTGTGGATCGAGCAATATGGAAACGTAGAGGTGATCAACCACAGGTATTGATAATGGATGGATGGATGGATGGATGGATGGAGTTAAATTAAATATAGTGCCTGCCTGTTCTTATTTATGCACGTAAAGGTAAACTGGTCAGCTACTTGTCTCTGACAATTCAATATATTATCCTCCATCATGCAATATAATATTAAAATGCTACTACCTAATAAGGGAGGTGATATGTTACCTAATTCATTCTTGTTTTGAAGCGAGCCAAACAGTCAACATCAAATAAAAAGAACGGTGAATAGCTGTCATGGGGTAAAGAGGGCATCACCCATGGCGAGGTGCTTTAATATTACAGTAGAGAAAAAGATTTTGTCTTTACTGTGAGTGTAACTATGTCAGACTGAAGATCTCCCAATAAAAATGCTTCCTGTATTTTGCTGAAGGATTTCCAGCAACGTATTTGCAATCCTTATTTTACAGTGACACAATAAATGCAGTGATCAATAACATAAATGAGTAATAATGTTATTTTCATTATTATCATTATGATTTTCTCTTATTGAAAATGTTCACATAAAAGAAGGAGGATCTGGGATTTGTCAGTCAGGTAATAGTGAAATGAGATATGATTTTTTTCCCTCTCTTATTTTATCCAGAACCGGTGAAAAGTGCTGTCTGAATTTCAAGCCGTGTGGACTGTTTGGAAAAGAACTACACAAAGTTGAAGGTTACATTCTTGATAAAAGGTATGCCATGATCAGGGATCCTCTTCTTTTAAAATGCCTTCACAAGGACATTAATTTCCTGTTAAATGCTGAGCGAAAATGTTACAAATTTGTGAAAGGATGCTTCTGAAGAAAAAAAAAGAAGCTGCCATGCCATTTTGAAATGAAAATTTCTGATTTTTTTACTCAAACATAATAGATTATTCATCAGACTGAATCCATTTAGCACTCTGCAATGACTTGAATACCAGAAAAAATAGCTTTACTTTGTATAAGCTAGTTAATTTGTACATCAGGAGATAAAGTATTTATGAAGTCTTCTTATAACAAAAATAAAGCAGACAGTCCAGTCACAGAGAGAGCTGGCACCAATGGGAGACCTCAAACAAAAGCATAGAAAAATATTCATTAAAGAATATGCCGTGCACACACACCAGGGGTTTGGCAAGGGACAGAACATACGAGCAGTTATGGGAAACGTTCAGCAGAAATGCATTTTATCCGGCTTTTTTTTCTTTCTTTTTTTTTTACATTTGACATTTTCAGAAATGGGACTTTGCCCCTTATAAGTGCTTTCAAGCGCACTGAGTGGCTCATTGGTGCGCTTTGTTAGCAGTGAGGGTTTCATCCGTGGGAGCAAAAAAAAACAAAAAAACACTGAATTTGTGCCTGAGGGCGTGTGAGGGTGTGAGCCTGTGTTTACATTTCACAGCAAAAAGAAGCTCTACGCGCTTTATGGGAAGTGGACCGAGTGTCTGCACGTCATCGACCCGGCCGCCTTTGAGGCCCACAAGAAAAGCGACAAGAAGGGGGCCGAGGAGAAGAAATCCGGCAAAGCGGTACGAAAGCTCCGAGTCCTGCTGGTTTAAAGTCGATCCATCATGTGAATGGTGTTATTGGATGTTGGAAGATGAAATCATCTGGTTTTTAACCCCCCGTCCGCACGCGTCCCTCAGGGAGGCGGCGGGGACCAGGAGGACGTTCCCTCTCCGGCCGCGGACACGGTGGAGGCGATTCCCGGTAGCCAGCTGCTGTGGAGGATTGCGCCCAGACCGGCCAACTCCACCCAGGTCTGCGCTGACCCCCCCCCCGCCCGCCACGGCCTTCCCCCGACTTCATATGGGACAAACCAAACAGATGCTTCTTTTTAAAACTCCAGATGTACAGCTTCACGTGCTTCGCCATGCAGCTGAACGAGCTGCGCAAGGAGATGGAGGGGGTCATCCCGCCCACCGACTGCAGGCTCAGGCCGGACATCCGGGCCATGGAGAATGGGGACATCGGTAAGCGCTAACGGTCAATCGCTTTGGGCTTAATTCGGTTCGGCGGGATCCACAAACACGTACGCGTTGCGTTTCCAAACAGACCTCGCCAGCGAGGAGAAGAAGAGGCTGGAGGAGAAGCAGAGAGCCGCTCGCAAGAACCGCTCCAAGTCCGACGAGGAGTGGAAGAGCAAGTGAGTGTTCTCCGCTCTTCGGGTGGCTTCCCAGTGGAGTGACCTGAACAGTTATTTCTCTCTCTAGGTAGCGCTTCGGTCTTTAAGGCTGCCGTTGTCTTGCCTTTGTCTGTACCGTTTTCACACATGCTCGAGCTTAACTCCATTTTTATCTCCACTTGTCATTTATCGCCGCTGCATCTTCACTGTGGTGCTAAGGAATCCTCCCCTGGGCCCGAGGTTAGAGCTGCACACTGTTTGACATGATGTGATCACGTGACACCCCCCCCCCTTCCCCTCCGTGTGTGGATCTTATCTGTGACCGTGTCGTGTTTGGTATGAGAGCCGATGGTGGAAACGCAGTATGAAAGTGAGGGTCTGCCCTTCCCTCCGTCAGCATGACAGCTCCTCTCACAGGCCCTGAATGCAATAACCCAAACACCCACAGGTGCTCTCCCTCTGAATCCTCTTCCTCCTGCTTGTAATTTCCTGTTTATATTCCGATGGAAACGGGCAGTGTTGGATGTCTGTAACTTTAAAACGAGGCCCGCCTGTCCTTTGTTCCCCTCCGTCTGATTTGTCTGAGTGTGTTCTCCCCTCTTTGTGGTTTTCCTTTCAATTGCTGATGTGTGTCCAATATGTTCCCAGGTGGTTTCAGCAGGGGCAGAACCCCCACACCCGCTCCCAGGACTGGCTTTTCTCTGGTGGATACTGGGACCGGACCTACAGTCAGCTGCCGGATATTTACTAATGCGCATTTCCTGCAGCGAGCAGCCTCCACGTGTATCATAAAGAACAGCATTAACTGTTTGATTAGATTTTTTCCCCCTTGTTTTTGTTTCCTTTGTTTCTTTTTATTTTCTAACGACAGCGATAACGAACAGAAACACCTAAAACAGTGTGGCCTTATTCTACTTCCTAACAAAGAAAGAAGCTGTGAAAATAGATGAAGTCACAATCAGTCGTTGTTTGATGTTACTTTGAAATGTAGCTTTGTTGTTTTTCCTGAGATGAGGCTTGTGTCTCTTCAGAATGGACTTTTAGCACATCGGCTTTTATGGTCTTTAGTGTGCATCAATCTTGTTTTAAATGTTCAGAATTGTATAACTGTATATATATATACTTTCCACAGTCACTGACCTCATCGTGTTAATCTCCATTCCACTCTACTGCATTTCACCGTGTAAAGTAAATACTGCTTACAAAAAAGTATATATATATTTTCTGTTACAATAACACCCATATAAAATAATTGTAAAAAATACCTGTTACTGGCTCTGGCTTTTTTTTCTCGTCATACTGTCCAAGTCAGTGCATTATGAAAAGTCTCTGTGAGAAATTTAAAAAATGCCTCTATTTTACACATATACAAAAGAAAGTTTGGGTTTCCCAGGTCAAAAAAGAAAAACTACTGTCTCCATACGGTACACTGGAAGTATGCTTACACTATTTCGAACAAACCATTTATTACATATGGTATATTAAGGACTGTGACCCTGTCCCCAGTGTTCTCTTATACTTATTAATTACTCATTACACCTTTATCACTTATTTATTTCGGGCAGCGCTGTTAAATGATTCATTCACAGGTATCAAGTACGTAAATATGAGATGTGAGTAAGATGTGCTGTATGACTGACTGAATGTGGTCTGTATGGAAAGACTCTGACTAAAAAAAAAGCACTACATAATTAGAGTTAGTTTGACAATTTGCTGTACGGTCATCTTTAGTAAACAAATATTCATTGTGATGTGTTGCTTGAACATGAAGTTTAGTACACATTTGTCATTTGAAAAATGGTTTAAATTTTGACTATTTTACATTTAATCTAAATGCTTTTTTAGTTTAACAGGTGTAAAAAGTGACTCTAAAACTGTCCTTTTAGACATTGCTGTGTGCCTGTGAGCATGCTGCTAGCAGTACAATTAATGTCATTAAAAACAGGCGGAAGTAACAGAAATAGCCAAAAACTTAGATAGAAATGATCTTAAGGCGAGGTCTGGCACATTTGAATGAAAGGCTGAAGTTGGCCATGAACACGGTTGGTTCCTGAGAGCAAACACAGACCAGATCAAAATGGTTATGCCATGTGAAGTACTCCACCTCATGGTCAAATGTTGAGCAGCTGATTAACATACTAATAAGAATACACAAAGCCAGCAAGTGATTAAGTCCTCCTGCGACATGGCCGTAGAGGTGAATTTGTCTAGATGTTACGGTACAAGTGAGGCCTGAGAGAACCAATAAAACTGAAAAATGGATGAGTTTAAAATGAAAAAAGGCAGTAGATACAAGAGAAGTCACAACCAAATGGCAGTATTCAATTTTCCAAAATAACGTCAGAAGAATGTGTAATTCCTCAGGACTCATACAGAGGAACAGGTTATTTCAGCACTACACCTGTAGTTCAGCTCCTGCTGAGGTGAGCTGCAGCTGGGCCAGATGTTGGCCACATGGAAGTGGCTATCGCACTGCGTTCACTAACCCTTCAGCAGGATTCAGGAATCTAATACAGAAAAATGACTGCAGTTACAATCTCGCTGTGGAATCAGTGATAGACCAGCAAATGGGCGACCGGGGGGAAATAAGGTTTAGATGTGATCACGGGTCTTACACAGATGCAGGTAGAAGCTTTTCCTGTGAGGGGGTATGAAAGTCTGCGCTGACCAGGAATGATAACACCCTGAGATCAGCGGGGTGGATCACTTCGGGAAGCGATTAGACACAACACCACTGCAAAGGGAAAGGAATTATATTGGTGGACGTTAAATGGGACGAGCACAAAAGCAATGTGAGGATATTTCCGATTTAATTCCAACCTCTTGGCATCACCATTAGAAAGGCAGGCTCTTGATCTTCCTCTTTTCAGCTTAATTTCGGTTAACCATAAAGACCCACATATTTTTCAAAACAAGGACGCACCGCTTACCTCGCAGCCAGGTCTCCACTTTGCATTTGATTAATTCCAAACCCCTTCATTGTGCCTTTTATCTGAATTTGGAGTATAATTACAATTCTTAATTTCCAGGAAACAGTCATCTTCTAACAGCTGAAGGCACGCACAGAGGTTGAGAGCTCATCGCTCTCACAGTCATCTTCATCTCCAGCTTCTGATTCTGTTTTTAACTTGAGTGCGGCACTGAAGAAGAGCAACATGCCTGTATTTGGAACTGAAGCTCAGAGACTTTTTAGAGGCTTTTCAATCCAGACAAACAAAGAATCAACAAACAGGGCCCTTTACAAAGTCACACTCTAGAGTCAAACGTAACTGTGTAGATGCTATTCTCTGAGGGCCTTCAGGAGACTATGGCTCTCTTTGAATGAAGAAAGAAAAAGCACATCCATGCCTGAGCTCATGAATGATACAGCCCTCTAAGGCTCATTTCCATACTATGAAGTTATGGTTTGTGGAACAGCTTCAGTTTATGCAGTGGCTGTTTATGTACAAAAAAAAAACAGACACAAGGTAAAACTTGAAGTACAACCAGTTTCTGTAGACTTCCTCAAAAAGATTTCCTCTGCAAATAAAACCCTCTGTTGCGCCTTAAACTTGGTTTTGCTTTTGAAGTGTCAGTGCATGTTACTCTATAAGTACTGTCTTCAGCAGGGATCACTTTTGTGTCCATATTTAGGCAAGTTTTAGATTTCTTCAACCACCTTTTTTTGCACCCAGTGACTGTAAACTTTTAAGACAGTCGACAGCTGTACTCTTCAAGAGCAAGGTGGGTGGCAGCGAAAAGTGGATCATCCACATCTGGGAGGTTTTCTGTCACCCCCTTTGTAAGAGGTCAAATCTGGAGAGAGATCCGGTTCGGTCTTATGTCAGCACTGAGAAATAAATGTGAAGCGATGTTATCAGGCACTGTTTGAAAAGAAAAAGACACTCAACAGCCACTGCTGACACCAACTGTCCCGCTTTACTCAACAATCTCTGAACGGTGCAGCTGTGATGTGTTGTCTGACACGCAGAGCAACAAAGAGACAGAACTGTTAAGAAAGCAGATGTGATCTGCAATCAAGCGAATGCATAAAATCTCTCACATCTGTCTGAGCTGCTCTGGCAAGCCTCTAAAAGGAGAACTGGTTATTTGCTTGAGTGTGATCTTGCGTGGATCTGCTTTGATCCCTGGCGCATGATAAATGGGTCTGAAGTAATGATTGCAAACTGTTTGCCCTGAGACAGAGAATGGGCTGAAGGGATTTTATAGAAACCATCACTGCGTTTGTCATCCAAAAGCCTTGAAGATCTCACAAATAGCGACACTGAATCTGGACTTTCAACTCTTTCATCTCAGCATTCAGTCTGCTTGCTGTCATCGAGACGCCAAGAGGCCTTTCTGCACAAAGACAAAGGGTTTCATACCACAGATAGGAGATTTGGAATTAATTGGTGTTTCATTTTGCTTCTGCAGATCAATCAATCTCATTAAAAGGAAACATGTTTGATTTCCGTTGTAGAACAACAAGTGTGAAATTTTAATAGTTGTTTCGGCTTTTTTTACGATTCCTTTATCACCATTTGGCAACCGGTTCCCTCATGGTTATCAGACACCTCTGCCTGGGGGAACGCAGAAGAAAACAAATATTTTAACAATAATTTGACCTATTTTTGTTCTTTTTTAAAATCACATTTCTTGCATGGGACACTGCTTTTAATCCATATTGACCGCATGTTTATTGTTGAATAGGCAGACAGGTTTGATGTCGATGTAAGAGAGTTTCATTGCTCTCATGAACTTGGGGTAACAGCTTTCCCGGAGACTGAAAGACTGGGATGAGACTGAGAAGAGGGGGCTAAAAGCTTTACACCCACAGTTTAAATGCACTCGACTGGTTTTGATTTGCTGAGGACATTTCCAGCCTCGGGAGCCAAAACTCTATCCTTAAAGGGCTTTTCCCATTAACCTTTTCCCAACGAAAAATATGGTTGGGTGCACTGGGCACTTTCCTACAGGAACACAACACCTGTCAGTTTCTAATTTGTTCCATTTAAGGCTATAACTCTGGCCCTTAAAGTACCTATCTATCTATCTATCTATCTATCTATCTATCTATCTA